TCGACAGCAGAAACGTATATACGGGATTACGTTGTGGTATAATGGTTCGGCATTTGAAAAGGCTTCGGCTGTTGCCATATCAGGACAAAAACCCACTGATCGTCCGTCAACCCCATCGAAACCCTGGTGATGTATAGTTCGACGGGTACAGTCAGCACCATACGCTGATCTACGCAACCGGCTCGGCGACAGGAGAAAGTCATTTCGTGGGTCCTTGACCAATTTCTTATCATATCTACGTTTACGACTTTACGAGTCAACCAAACACTTCAGCCTAGCGCTGTTTACACGTAGAGCCTTATGGAAGGGCATCGCAATAGCCAATTCTAACGAAGGCACAGAAGGGGGCAAGGAAGTATCGGGAGATGCGGCATACAGTTCAATTATCGATAACCCATGCCGGCTGTCCGCCGAAGGGACCGAAGGAGCTGGCTTGGTTCGGAACCGCATCTCTTTTCCCGGGAGACGCACACTGGCCGAAAGGCAACCAACCCACTCGACATAGCCGGTAAACACAGTCAGTATCAACCACAGCAGGATGGTGACCCAACGTGCTAAATTCCCGTTCAACGGTTGATGATTCGTCACCATATCCTTTCTAGAATGGCCAGCTCAGTGAATATAGGGCTGTGACTGGGGTTCCTAGCAGAAAATGGTAGATGACGTTACACTACCCTTGTCCAAATCGCCAAGAAATTATTAAATACCCCGCTCATTTCATCTCCAAGAGGAAAATAGGCCCGCCACCAGATAGATTGATTATTTACGAACCTGGGATGCAAAGCCCCTGCAACACGGGCCCTGTATGCAGCAAGGATCAGCCGGACAATTAAACGCGTCCCCGGATTTCTCCCTAGTTGTACGTCGCTATATTTCTCTTCTTCCTTTCCGTCCCTTGTTCAAGCTCCATGGGCGGGGTCGCCAAGGTCATAAGTGAATCTTGTTTCAAGCATTCTAGTATAGGTAGGTGCCCCCATCCAATCAATATATTGATCAGCTATAGCAAGGAAAAACCAGTCCCTAGGATGTGCTGAGCTTCTGGGTACTTTTTTTGGGACGGCGTGACCTTTCGATTGGTGTCTTAGACGACCAATATCCACGAACTATTGAATCCCAACGGTTTGACGAAGCACCAATAATAGTCACTGTCAACATTGTGAAAAAAAAAGAGTATATTAATCGAAACGGAAAACAGGGATCATGCATAGTGCCAATCGTTCTAGTTCCTGCGTCGGGATCTATGCCAATGCTGAGGTTTCATTCGACATGGGTCTACGCAGGGCTAAGCTAACTAGCTAAATCCTAGTTTCTCATCCACCCTCAGATGGACCTATCTGTCAATTTCCTTCTATTGTCTGTATGGCGCTGGGGGGCTATGGAGAAAAAAGTCCCTACCAGCCGTACATTTGTCCGATCGTCTCCAAATAATGGGCCGACCAGGCACGATACGTACAACACCAGGAACCAACGCTTCTAGAATAGGCATCTGATGACGGATCTCCTCGCTTTAAGGACACTCAGCGCCAAGTGTTCACTGCAGAGCGAATGGTCTCTATAGACCGATCGAAGAACAGCAGCGGGGAATTAACGAGGCATGATTAGCCACTGTGTACCTACCAGCCTACCAGTTTATAGGGATCACGTATCCTACACAATGCATTTGCTGATAATAGCAAGACTTGGTAGCTTCGAGCAGTTGCCCGGTGACAAATGGAAAGTCATCCTATCCTAATTGGAGAAATTGCGCGATCTACTAAACTCTAGTCCTAACAAGCAGGGAAGTGGTGTGTGGGACTGCAGACTGAATACGGAAATTCCGACATTAGTCCATATCTTCTTCTTTGGTTCTCTCGTTTATTTTTGTCTTCCATTTTTTGTCCCTGCCTTTTTGCTGCAGGTACGTACAGGGGTAGAGTTATTGGGGTTACGTTGATCAATAGTCGTGCATGAAACAGGCTTTACACTTTTCTGTTTTCGAAGTTCTCGGAGTCGAGAACATCCTTCTAGGCGGATTAACGGCCATTGGAAACCAATATAGGGGGGGGCAGACTCGGATGATTTCCATCAAGATCTACACCATGATCAGAGGACGAACCAGTCTCTCCCTGTCCCCTCTCTCAATAACTCTCCCATGTCTCATCTGCGATGCAGCCTCCTCCCCCATGCTTCGACCTATCCCTATCTCGTCGATTTTTATGCAGGGCACGAACGGCGGGGCCCAATGAGCCACTTACCAGTAGGTATCTGTCGCAGGCAAAGGCAAATTACCTCAGGCGTTCTACTTACTACCCTACCACCCTACCATGGAACCAGCCAGCTAGATTCAAAGGCGGGCGCAATCTGTGCCTTTGGCTTTTCCCCTCCCACCTCCCACCTAATTACCCCCTTGCGTCCCCGGGAGGTGGTGCTTCTTGTTATTCATTTTTATTTTATTTCTGTTCTTGTTTTTCGTCCGTTCTCGCCACCATGGCAGTCAGCCTGCGTCTTCCAAGCTCGAATCAATATCATTGATTTGGGTTGCATTGCATTGCATCTCCATTCCCGGTTCTTGAAAGCCCATCGGTGTGTGGGGGTGGAACAATACCCAGACCAAATCAAATCAATCTATCTACCTACTCGGTGGTAAGTAACATGGATCATCCTGGGAAATAATCATCACCGCCCCCCAATCCTAAATCCTACGTCTCGTGCGTCCATGCTTATCTTTTTCCCCGTTGGGGGTGTGGATAGACAACAAACGGCCTGTGGACTCTTCTTCCTCAGAAAAGCAAAATAAAAAAAAGGACAAATTAATGAGTCGCTATAATAATAATAAATAAATAAATCAAACGCTGGAGTAACCCACTAACCGCTGGTCATTGCGTCCTTGCGTGACCGTCCATCAGGTGGTAGTACTCCCATTCTCCACTACGTCATTTTGCTTTATTTACTTTTTCATACCTCACTAATGACTATAGACTAGCTGGGTACTAGATACCTAGGTAGACAAGCCGATTGGAGCTGGTTTCTTGGTTTGGGCCTTTCGCGGCTTCAACTGTTTTGTCGATTGACTCACGCGTATATTGCCCTACTGTAATAGGGTCGAGCTTATTCTTGAGGATACACACATACCTACCTACCTACCTACCTACCTACCTACCGTATTGACTTATCGGTGAGTAGCTAGTCTCTTTTTTTTCTCCCCGAGGAAATGAACCCGTTCATAGATAGCATCGGGGTTGGGGGTGGTTGGGGATTGGGATTAGGAAGTAGAGGTGAGTCAGTCCTCTGGAATCATCCACAAGCGGGTCCTCTGCGTCTAGCTCGCACTGGAATGAAATGAATGAATGGGAAGGACGGCCTAAAAAAAGAGTAGCACGACAAGCCCACCTTCTTGCATCGGTGGATATGCCGATAATAAGTTTGTGTCATTGGGCGCGGGTTCTGGCCTTGACCCTCTGTTGGAGATTATTCCCGCGGGTAGTGATAATCTCTGCACCTTTTGTCTTTGTTATGTTGGAGGGTGGGGAACTGGATGTGTATATGTGTATATGCTGGTTATAGTATGTCATGGTATGGAAAGAAGTAGTAGCTATGGAACTGTCTAGGTTTGAAGTAGTCATGTAGTTGGCATCACTTACCCTCGTGACGCTTACATTAACAACAGTACCAGTAACAGTCACTCACCGAGGAGAGCCACTACTGCAGGTAGAAAAAAAAAAAATAAAAAGTAGATGGCAGGCTGGCAGGCTGGCAGGCAGACAATCCTCTAACTGCAACACGACGGTCGCCATGCATAGTTCGATATGCATGTAACATGCGGCGGAGATCCAAGTATGTACGCGCGCATGAACGAACGCACGAACGCACGCACGCACGCTATGTTGAGCGTAATTGGTTTGAGATTGCTTGGGCTGGTTGACTCGCTGGTTGACTGGCTGGTGATTGACTGTCTGGTTGGCTGCCTGGTGGCTGTCTGTCTGTCTATCTTTGTATTGGGAAATGCGGTGGCGTGTTGCACCGAAGAATCTATGTCGTTTTTGTTAGTAATTGGATAGGTAGGTAGGTAGGTAGGTAGGTAGGTTGGGACAGTCAACTAGGTGGGCTAGGTTAGACTAGACCATAGTTGGTTGGTCAGTTACTTGCTCGCTGACTTGAGTAGTCGGTGAGTGAGTGCGTGAGTTTCTTATTTGGTTGCTTGGGACTTCATGGAGGGGGAGAAGGCAGCAGTTGCTCCTTTCTTTAGGTGGTTAGTTGGAGGCAACAGTGTAGCAAGTCATTCAATGGACTGGTGTAACTTGGTCCTAATGGATATGTAGCACAAGGGGGAAAGCTCAAGGAGTTTATATTGTGGAAAGGTATCTAGCAGTAGTGAATGTCTAGTGTGGGAAACATCTAGGACGGGAAATATCTAGCGTGGTAAACATGACAGTTCTCTACAACAATTACGTTCTCGGTGTAGAGTACTATATATTTAATCGTGGACGTAGAAGCAAGTATATCTATTGTTCATGAATTTGCAATTTTCCTGGAGTAATTCTACAGTTTCCTCCCAGAGATAGTGATAAGTTTCTAGTGACTTAGATATAGATATCAAAATAGTCAACTCCGAAGTGAGTGACAGGACCATATATTCCACGTCATGACTGAAATGTTAATCTACTTTAGTTCTATTCAAGCGGATGATAGTATATATTAGGTCTACATTTATCCTGCATTGTTGTAGTTGTTGTTATGCTCTGATACACCAGTTTGGAGCAATGTTTGTGGTATATATACCTGTCTAAATAGCACAGGTGTATATATATATACAACAATAATTCTCGGAAAATCTTTCTACAACAGCTATATCAAACCATGCCCGTATTAAAGATAGTTTAATATCATCTACTAGTAATTATAGCAGTGACTATCCCCGTGGACTTGGGATATTCACTACGGAATAATCCTCAATAAACTCGACACTACAACATACATCACAACACTACAAAATCCAGTCAAAGAAGTGATATATTCAGAATAGCGCCCCTGCAGCACTAAATACTAGACAATCAGTAATAAAAGAAGATCAAATCTCATTATAACGACAAAAAAGTGCAAAACGGGGGAGCATCTGTACAAAATGGTATCAAGTCTGTTTCTTGCTCTCCATTCCCGGGCTTGAAATTCAAGCGAAGCAAAGCAAGCAAGTAAGTAAGTAAGCGAGTAAGTAAGTAAGTAATCAGCCAGCTAACAAAACCTACCAACCGACCGACCGACCAACCAGGCTATCCCAGCCAACCGAACCCACGCTTCCCAAGTGGTACAAAACGAAAAATAAAATAAAGATAAAAATAGAATAGAATAGGAAAGGGTAGAATGGAATGAAGAAAAGCAAATTGAAGGGGAAAATGATGAACTCCAAGATCGAGTGTCGATCGATCGTTTGTTAAACGCCGCCCTGTTTTATAGCAAAACACATAGTCCCGTGTACATAGCCCAATAACATGAAGAAGTTGGGACCCTGTTGAGTCCGGTTCGCTGTCGACAGTGATGTGATGTCTAGATAGATAGAACAAGAAGGATAGGCATAGAGGTGAAGGATGGAGGTGTGCATGTGGCGGGGGTATGAGTTCAAAAGACGCCATGCCTACTTGCCCATGCCGCCCTGCATCATGTTTTGCTGATGCTGTTGCTGCATCGCCTGGGCCTGGACGGCCGCAGCCTGATTGGCGCGTTGTTGCTGGGCCATTTCGCGTTCGCGTCGGATGATCTCCTGGATCCATGTCTTGGCTGTCTGTTCCAGCCCTACTTGGTACTGGTGTGAGACGTTCGGTGGGTATTGCGTAGGAGGCCCGAATTGTGCCATGAGACGGTTTGCCATGCTGTGCCGCAACTGCAATAAGCGCTGCTGGTAAAGGTGATTGTACCGTTGGGCCATGGCGCCCTGGGCCCGGTTGATTCCTTGGAGATGCTGTGGGATTTGGCCTCCGTTGGCTTGAGCAGCTGCCATTAACATCTGTTGCTGAGAGTTCAACTGCGGGCTGGCCTGGTGCATTTGACCTTGTTGCGGCTGCGGGGCCTGCGGCTGTGGTTGAGGTTGAGGTTGAGGTTGGGGGTGAGGTTGCGCCTGCGGTTGTTGCGGTTGTTGCTGTTGCTGCTGCTGCTGCTGTTGTTGTTGCTGCTGCTGCTGTTGAACAATCTGCATTTGCGCAAGCTGCGCCCGCATCAACTGAGCTTGGTATGCCTGCGGATTTTGAACCTTCTGTTGCTGCATCTGCTGATTATGGTGTTGAGCCTGGATCATATTATGCTGGTGCGATTGGATATTTTGCTGGGCATGGGCGCTGGCCTGCAGTTGAGCCAACTGCTGCGGTGTCAGCTGGCTCTGTTGAGCTAGCATTTGCTGTCTCTGTTGCATTAATATCTGCTGCTGCTGAGGCGTAAGGCCCATCCCACCAGCCATCTGCGGAGTTCCCATCATCGACTGGTTCACAACGGGGGTCGGGGCCATCGAGGGACGGTTCGGGCTGGCGTGGCTCATGCGTTGGGTGGGCGTTACATTCCGCATAATGGGGGTTGCATGAGACATGGCTGGTGTTCCCTGGGTCATCTGCGGAGTTCCGTGACGGCTCTGTCCTTGTTGACTTCGCGAAGCTGCCATGGGGTGGCTCATGACATTGGGGTGAGCATGCTGTAGAGCAGACGGTGGTCTTGGTGGACTCCCTGCACCCTGCATCGACGGTGTCATACTCATTGGAACGCTAACAAGAGGCGATGAGGTATTGTGGGGTGTTTGCTGGCGGACCACTGGCGAGGACTGCTGCCCTTGACTGACCCCGTTGGCTTGTGCCATGATGTGCCGATTTTGTTGCTGGGTTGCTGCAAGCTGTGCCTGTGCCTGCTGGGCAGCCAACTGTTGCCTTCGAGTTTCCTCCTTGGCATGTTCTTCCGCTTGTCGTTGTTCCATGAGGCGACGGCGTTCTCGCTCCTGCTCCTGCTGCTGCTGTCTCTTGACCATCTCCTGTTTGAGCTTGTTTTCGTGTTCGCGTTTCGCCTTCTCCTCGTGCTGCATGCGGATATTCTCCAAGGTCTTGAATCTCGAAAAGCGCGGTTCGAAAGGTGCCCCGCCACCGGCCTCATCGACAGTAGATTTCGTCGCACCTGCGCCTCCTGACGTCGTAGGCTCCAGGCGATCATCCATGATAAGCATAAATCGTTCTTCTTCGGCGGCCAACGCCTCGTCCGCGGCAAGCTCGGCCACAGTCCTCTTTCTCCTCTTCGGTGACGGCGGCGGATCGCGGTGCAGAGGGCTTTCCATGTATTTCAGGAGATCTTGAACAGCATCAAAATTATTAACAGGTTCCAGGAAGAGGGGCGGTGCCAGCGCCCTCGTAAGCTTAGATTCGCATTCCACGAGCTCCGACGGCTCAACCAGCATTTTCTGTTTCTTTGCGACATGCCCGCGGTCGGTCTGGCCAGATGACGCTCCCGGAGCAGAGGTCGCCGAACTTTGATTGGTCTGTTTCGCGGCTCGTGGATCGGGTGTAGTGGCAAGCAGAGTGAGCTCTGCCTGCAAAGAACGGGGGGTAGGGTGAAGGACAGTGGTGAAAACACGAGGCTTCGGAGGAGACTGATTTCGCTGGGTAGATGTTGACTCATTTCCTGCGGCGGGAGAAGTCGACGGATCGCCGCCATTAGCCTTGGCATCAGACTGGTTTGACACGGATTCTTTCGAGCTTGGTTTCTCCGAAGTCAATTGGTTCTGCTTCGGGTATGGTACAAAAGCCGACGGAGTGATGTGCTCGTTGTAATTGTGGATTGAAAAGGGGGCGTTATTCTCGTTCGACGACTTTGCGGCCGATTTCCTCGCCTGCGCCACCGCCGACTTGTGATCGACCACACGAACAATCAGACAGCCTAAGAAAGAAAAAAAGAAAGAATCAGTCACAGTTCACAGCTCGTCGTCCATGCAATGTGGGAATCACCTTCGTAAAAGCGAACATTAGCCCGCAGCAGCTCCTCCATCATATCGTGCGGGACGGTCCCAGCACGGATATGCTCAATGATGACTTTCATTTCGGAATTGTAGGGAAAGCTTCCGTCCTGCTGCTCGAAACGGAAGTGTGTCGGATGAAGGTGTACGATAAGGGATGGCGGACATTTTGAGAATTTCTTAAGGATATAGGAAGTTGTTTTGACTTTTGACGGGCGCGCGAGTGTCAGTAAACAGGGGTTCTCCGCACACAGCATTGCGAGGTCTCACCATAAGGCTCGGGACACTTCTTGCCCAGCCGACGCTCAATGTCGGTTGACAATGGTTTTACCAAATGCTTTGGTATCCGCGCGGCTGGATCATTCGCCTTCTGCGCATCCTTCCTCGATTTATTCAGGGGTCCCTTGCCGGGGGCACCTTTCGAATCGACGGCGCCATTGGCGCCGTTTGTAATCGGTGGCCCGATAGAGCTAGCGGAGGTGGTATGATTCGAACCCGGAAGCTGTTTCGAGGCAGGCTGCGGGGAGGAGGACTGCTGAGCCTTGACGCCATTCACTCCCGTCTGGGGAAAAGGCGGGGGCGGTCGCTTCATCTTCGGCGGGTGAGAGGTATGATTAGAGATCGCGGTCGCCATGTTGCCGGTAGAGAGTGTGCGACGCGATTATAGTCGGTATCTTGCGAATGCGACTTCTCGGAAGGGCAGATCGGATGACGATGGTGGGAAGCCGAACTCCGGAAATCGTAGATGATATGACCGGGGCGCGAGACATGTGGGGAGCTGAGGGTGCCACCGCGCCGCAACAAACACGCCGGAGCTGAATCGAAAATTTGCACCAAGCCCGGAGCCGCTAGGAGAAAAGGATACGGACGGCCATAGACCAAAAACCTGCGAAGGAGTGCAGGGGAGATGCGGCGAAGCTGATTCCCGTCGACTGCGGTGGCTCGTCAGAGGGAGTTTGGTGATGCCAAGCCGCGGGCGTGAAGGAGGTCGGGACACGTGATGCCTGCATGGGGTTTAGCGGCATCTGGGGAGCCTTGTCACATGACTTGTAGTCATTCAATCCTGGATGAATGAGGATGGAATAAAGCAGTAGACAAAGGTTCAAAGGTTGGTGGGGCTGCTTGATGTACATTTATCTATTGAGATGAATTGTTTTGTAAAAAGTAGAAGTTACACAATCATTATTGCATGAATGCACGCATCACGCGAGCATACGCATTTCATTAAGGGGAATCAAATCAATCGTCAGGTAAAGATAAAAAGAAACAGAAAAGAACAAGTCATATAAACATCCAAGTAATAGCCCAGCATATCAACAGTGTCTCATATAGAGACCGTGTGGGCATCACTTCAGCCATTTAGTCAAAGCCAGCCACCCTTCGTCGCCAATCATCGCCCACACGGAGCACATCAACAACGTCAATCCGTTTGCCGATACCCGTCATGCCTTCCTTTTCCCACCAATTCTCGCCTTTGTCTGCCAGGGCCGACTCATCCTCGCTGTCGATTAGACCACCGCGATCACCGACCACGACCACGACCTGTCGGACCCAGCCAGAGATGTGCTGTGCGGCGCTCCCCTCTTTCCCGGTCAAGGACTCTTGGACATACACAATTTCGGGCGAAATGTGGCGCACCAGGTGCACGTAACCTCCGGGCGTGCTGAACGCCATTATGGTGGTCTCCTTCTCAACGATTGCTTGGGCTTGGGTGTAAAGGGTCTTGAAAAGCGGCGAGGTATCCTCGCTCTCATCTCCGTGGTGGGAACCGGGGGAGGCCAAGTCGCCGCTGGCAAGATCGGCAGAGGCAGCTTCTTCGTGGGCAATGTTCGAATACGACGAAGCGACGGACAATGTAGGGCGGGAATCATTCCCCTGGTGGGGAGCATGTTTGAGGCCGGGCGCATAGATCATGACGAAGATTTTAGCCGTCTCGGGGGTGACATGTTCAGGGAGGTGGGAAAGAATGGACTGTCCTAATCAGCAGGCGACACTTTAAAAAAGGAGGTTGGACCAGGGACGATATGACTTACCACATGGTCGGATGTTATATCTTCAGGGTCAGCCGGTAAAGACTCCGACGAGACCACAATCGCTACCGTCTTCTTTCTATCGGCGCTACCGACTCCGCGACTCGGGAGCGCTCCACTCATAGACGGGGCAGGAGGCTGGTCCCTGCGCTGATTTCTAGATTCCACCTCTTCGGACCACCGAGAATGATCCTCAAAGTCCCTTCGGTCTTCCTCTCGGATCGAGGTCAGAGCACCACCGACAAACGCTCCCGCAGCAGCCACGCCAGCGGCAACCTTTTTGCTTGCGCCGTCGAAGATCTGCTGAGGACTGGGGGTGCGGCGCAAAGCTCCCTGCCAGCGGGCCATCACGCCAGGGTCGCCGGGGAGGCCCTCGCCCTCTTCTGCCCTGGCGAAACCGTCAGGATATGCGTCGGGAGGGTAGACGCCCCCACCGGTACCGGACGCGGGGATGCGATTGTCGTCCCCGGGTTGGTCGCGTTCATCATCGTCATCTTCACTGCGTTCACTCCAGATCCACGCCGCAATGCCGATTGCCGCCACGCTGACAGTTAAAGCTAGAGGGGCGTAGTATCCTAGGACAGTTCGTCGCCCTGAGGAGCTGAAACCGGTGCCAGGTGCGACCCGCCGACGAGGATCTTGACGGTAAGACATTGCGGTCGCTGATGGGCAATATTAGAGGTGGCGCATAGAACTTTGTGGGTTGCAATGCATTCAAATCACATCTCACGAGCGTTGGATTGGAAGCAAGAAAAAAGGGAGGCTGGATTGAGGGGAATCATAGAATACAAAGGGGTGTTGAGTAAGAAAGGAGGGAGCTTTGCGCAGGGCTGGGGGGGGGCCTCGGACGAGCCGAGAATACATGTGGCTGGTGATGTCTATGTTTACCGCGGTGTTTACCAATCGGGTAAGGTCATGCCGGGGGATTCCAGGTAAGCGGGTGTTCATCTGGTTACCAGTGTTTGCACTGTTTGTCTACTTCCCCGCTTGAAACAACAGTGAAGAAGTCTTGATATCACGAATGAAAGACTGCTATATATGACTTATGAACTTGGTATACAGCTTTATTGTGTATGGATTGAGTGTTTACGAACGGCAGAAGATGAAGGAAGTATGGCCGAAATATGAAGATGTGGACTCCAGTATTTGGTCTGTTCTGGAGTATGTGACGCGGAGATACAGTAAGACAGCACCAACTTGAAAGTCTACTATACAATCATAGAAAGAACGTTATTTGAATATGGTTTCTCTTCTTTTCCTATCTGTCATGAATTTTGCAGAAGTATTGCTTTTCCTTTCCCCTTCATTGCAGAAAATCACCCCACTAATTGACAAGCCAGGTTTCCAGCAAACATATCCATAAGAACCAACCTAGGTGCGTCCCAAATACAACAAACATGAAGGTAGTCTTCGCATGTCACTACAAAGACCCCAGATCAAAAGCTCCAGCTAAACAATCAATATCGAAGACACGGTAGAGGATTATTCCTCAGTCTGAGAGTAAGCCTCATTCGCGGCTTCTCCGTCATCATCCTGCATCACACCCCCCACACTATCCTGGTCATAGATAGTTGACCAATCCTCGATTGTATCGCTAGATGGGGGATTACCATCCATTGAAACGTCGTCAAGCCCAGAAAAAAGCCGAGAACGGGGAACCTGGGTCGGCGGCAGCTCAGGAGAAGTTGGGTCCATCGACGACTCGGGGAAAGCCTCTGCTGTGGAGGTGGGTGTGGAGTGGGTGAATTGGTAGTAAGCTTGGTAAGATACAAATGCGTTTTGATATCGCTCGGGGTCTTGAGGCTGTTGGTTGTTGAAGTGTTCGCCTTCTCTATGCGCCCCAGTGGAAGAATGTCCGTGGTTTGGCAATTCGAAGCCGTCCTTGGGGCTGACAATGATTGGCAGCTCTGTGTCGTAGCTGGATTCGCTGTCGATGGCTGTGTTCGGGGTATACTCGTAGTCCATATTGTGTTCTTCGTTATCTTGGATGGGAGCAACTGCGTTCGTCTGGATGCCTGAGGGTTCACCCTGGGTGCGCCCCGCAGTACCATCCTGCATAGAGTTAATCAACCGTTCCAGGAAAGGGGTGGCAACTCCGTTGAAGGCAGGTGTTGTAACGTTAGGGACAAAACTAGTGACAGTTTCAACGAAGGGGTCAGCGACGTCGCTCTGAGTAGGCGCCACGACATTGTTCTGGAAGGGAACTGCGAGCGTGTTTTCAGCAGGGCTTTCAACACCAGTAGACATGGAACTATTGGCGTTTGCTGACATGAGAGCCAGCATGCTGTTCAAATCACCAAGCTCGAGATCGTTCTGGATGGGGCCTGTGGTATCATTGCTTAGCTGCGGTATCTCGCTCGTTGGGCTGTTCTCTGTAGACAAGGAGCCATCATCAGGGTAAAAAGCGAATACCAGGAGACTGTCTTCACCAAGTGTAGCCGTATTACCGTACCTGGGATTCGATGTCGGTTTCTTGTGAAGAGATTCCTCTAAGATAGTAAAGGGCTTGGGGCGTGCCACATTTCCTGGGGGCTGAAACACGGACTTATCGGATAATCGATAGTAGAACGGATATGTAGAGTAAGCGCCTCTCGCAAACCAATTGAGATTGTTGTGATTCTGGGGATCGTTTCGAGCAGCCTGAGCGATCTCCAAATCAAAGGCAAATCCGGCGTTGCATGCGAATTTCCCCGTCCGGGCAGCTGCTTCTAGATAGGTCTCGGCTCCCATGTCCTCCATATAGGGATCGTCCACTACGTACTCGGCTTTGCGGGGTCCTGGCTGGTCCCAGTAGCGGGAATGGTCTCCGTGTGCGTAGAACCCGATGACCGACTCTAGGAAGCCTAGGTCAGTGGACGATTCTCCGAGTATAACTTCGAGATGCTCGACGGTCAGAAGGGTTGTCTTCAGATTTTTGGTCACGGGGCATTCGGTCGTTTTGCACGCCCAGCATTTAACATCGACAGTGGCTGCTGTAGCAAGATCGTCCTCATGTCTTTCTAACCCTTTGAAAGGACACTGCAGATAGGAAGCATAGAGGTGGCCGCAGGAATGCCAGAACACAATCATTTGACACATGGCTTGTTCGTATTCTTCTTCTTTTGGGTCTTCGGGTCAGTAGAGATGTAGTATCAGGAAGAAAACACGATCTCAGTAGTAAATACACGTCCTTGTTTGAGGATTTTCTGATAGATGTTGAAGTACAAGAAGATCCAGAGACAGAATTGAAGATAGGTAACACGGGACGTGTGGGCTTATATGCAGGTGTCATGATAATAGCAATTTAACTTATGACGCTGTTCATCATGAGTTCTTTACCGTGTTAGGACGTGAGTCGTCGCCGAGCGTGAAGATTAAGTAACAAGATTGGGTATGACCCCAGGGCTCCGCGTCGGACCCGCGTGGCCTTCACTTCACATTGAGGAGGGGGGGTTGGTGTAGAACTTATTTTCAGTGAAGGACATGAGCTCGACGGAGACCCATGAAAGAAAGCCTGTAGTTATTCTCTTTTTACTAGCTGGTAAAGTGCGTCAGAACAAGTGACTTCAAGCAAACAAACATGTAGATTAAAAAGAGGTCTATGCATTGTAAAAGCTCTTTCAATGTAAAGGATTTATATGTCACGGGTTGTGAGGTAATCAGGTCTCCACGATGTTGTAAGAGTTCTTTTCTGGCTTGCCACGGATTTTTGTGAGGTCGATTCAACTAGACCGAAAGATCCTATCTTAACTCGTTTACTAGAAAGATTTGCTCTCTATGAATGATAACGGCATCAAGCATCTTGACTTCATACCTGGAGAGAAAGGCTTCTAATCTCGAAAACAAGCTCTCAGTAAAGACTCCAGGGTTGGAGAGAAAGAAGTCATCTCAGAATAGCACAATATACAGATGCTGATATCGTAGCACACGTTACCTATTTTCCGATGCAAGGGTAATGATTTACGCACAGGAGAGGATCTCTAGCTACTTGTTAGAAGAGTCCGAGTCCGTAGAGTATTGAAATAGTCTGTACGGTAGGAACTTTCCATGCCAATTGAGTGTAAGTCCAGCTGAATCCCTATATACTGTTATACGTATGGACAGGTTTGACCAACCTGCGCCATAACTAATATTAACAGTAAATATGCAAATATCCACCGGTTTCTACGGGTGTTTTCTTCGGGACAACTTTACTGCAGTATCCCAGGCAAGGAATAAGTTTAGATATTACAGGTCCCGAGGGATTATTACGGCTGATAATAATCTATGCAAGCCGCGTGCTGCGAGTTTTAATAGTAGTGCATACTACAGAGTCACTGTGGGTGACGGTGAAAAGGCGATGGTTGTGCATGATCTTTCCACGCTGCACATGGCTGCCTTGAGGTGTCAATTGACTATACAAAATGTGTCTTAAGTTTGCCATAAACCTAGGTCGAAAAGAAGGACGCTCTCTTCACATACCAGAAAGTTCTTCAATCTCACACAATCTCTCGTAGATATGCTGTAGGAGTTAAGCCGTCGACTCCATGATGTTAACTTACGTATTCCTCATGTTTTGCGGGTCAACTTTTCATGTCAGATGACCCAACTAGATTTCCATACATGTGTTGGAATGAACAATCAAACATTCTGACATCAGAGATAGAAAAGAAGTAGCTTGGCGTAAGATGCAGCTGTAGCAGAAGCATACTCTTGCCAAACTTTGCTTTTGCTGGAGTCAGCATAGTCGCAAATACCTCGGATGACAAGACAGCTGGCGACATTTGCGATTCCTGCTGCTTCCATTTCGACACAAAGTACATTGTATCTTTGGCTTAGACTGTCTCTAAATTCCGCATTCTTTATAACCAGATCCCCGGATGCAATTAAACCATAGTGAATTTTTGGATGATTTCTGGTGTTGATTCGTTGGCTGTTTATCAACTCAGATGTGTGACTTTCATCAACTGCAGGGATCCCGTTGCCCTGAAAAGATGTGTAGTCCTCCATTTTCGGATGCCCATATTCCGGCCGAAGGTCTGAGATCGCGTCGAGATATGATTGAAGTGGCTCCGGAGAGAGGCCTGGATCAGATTGCATGTGGCTGATAACATTCAGTATTTCATGCGGTGGAGGCGGAAGAGAACCTGTCTTTTCAAACTCATCATTTCCTAGACGCTTTCCGCGGTCATACTGGATGACCCCAGGGAAGGCCCCTTCTGGGATGCTCACCACAACATCTCCGAGGCGTATATCATTTCGCTTGCTCGGTATCCCACCACCAATGCCAACCAAGAGATAATACTTTATGGAAGTGAAAGTCCGTTTCATATTAGCGATGACTAGAGCCGCAGGGCTTGTTCCATAGTTTCCAACTGGCAGACAGGCAGTAACAGCATTATGACTCCCAATACAGCCAAAGGCATATTGATTGGAGTCTTCCGAGGGAATGTTGGGTTTGTGGTGTTTCTCATCGAACAGTAAACGAACCGCAAGATGTTCCTTGGGAAGAGCACACACGATGGCAATGTTGTATTTTTGTGGTTCTAGGCTTGACTTCCAGCTTCTTTCGTTCATTGGAACTTGAGACATCTTTCGCTTTCCAAGTCCGTTACAAGGTCCATTCTCAGACTCTTCTGGCAAGGAGTGAAGGTTTCGGGACTCGACTGTAATTCCTCGATGATCACGACCAAAACCTCTATCTGAATATAGATCTTTTTTTGTGTGTTTGTAAGGAAGGGAACTGGACTCTGAGGAAGATCCAGGTATTCCGGCTTTCGGGTCCAAGTATTCCTCCGCATAGTCGTGGGATAAGGGCCGTGTAGTCTCCATTCTGCAGACTTTTGCTGTTGACATGCCGCATTGGTAGGCTTCGACATAACTCAGGAGTGGATTTAGAACTTCCCAGTACACCTTGTTTCGTAATTCCTGGTCATCCAGTTCGACCTCAGGATAGATGTTGAGAAAGCTGGCTATGATGTCCAGAAAAGGTTTTTCAACACAAGACTCGCGCAATTCGCTTTCCTCCCGGCTCAGAGCGTTGAACAACGAAATATCTTGATACTCATCGTCGTACTCTTCGTCGTCAGGCATGATCGTGACTCTGCGGCCAAATAGTAACTCCCAGAGAAGAACTCCAAGGTAGAGAAGTGACTCAGAACCCCGCATTCGCTCTCTCGGCGTCTGATTTATAAATTTCTGGAGAATATAAGGCTTGTAAGAACGAGTTTGTGAGTCGTTATCCTGTGTAACATAGATTTTCTCCGTTTTCCACGCCTCTGGTGAGAGCGGGCCGCCCAGGAGGTAAAGTGAGGATTTGGTAATGCACTTCGCCAAGTGGAGGCGGTCTTTCTTAAATAACCTAGCAGAAGACATCGTTGTGCCATTCCTCACATGGAGTAGCTCTTCCAGCTTTAATGCTGGTGCTGTGGCATCGTCCTTCACTCGGCCACTGGAAGATTCAGCATAGTTCCAGCTTCCATCCTGGCTTATTTCAATTAGCAGGCGTTTTTTGAACTTGCAATAGCGTTTCAAGGTAGAACATATGCCATGTTTAGGGGAGTTGATTCCCACCAAAGGGCGGTTGTGACTTCTACCCCTCCACGATACACCATGACAATTTCGTGGCCCTTTTGGGCCGCAGAGGGACATGAGCATGTCAATTTCCGGTCGGCTAAAGCCACTGAGATGAATGTGAGCTGAGTGGGATGGCTCGCAAGATTTGAGTTCCTCTGCCAACAACTTGAACAGAGCATTTGCCGTATCAGAGAGCCGTTTGGCCTTGATCAATTCGTCCATAGCTAAGTTGTCTCCATGCGAAGTGGCTTCTTCTTCATGATAAAGGGGGTGAAATTGTGACTCCGTGTCAATTGTTGGCGAATCAAATATTCGTCTCATGGTCTCATTGAACTGCCGGGCTTGAGAGTACACTAATCGATAACGTGCCGCTGCCGGCCCAAACGATATGTACATTTCGCATGTAAGGGCAGTATCACCCAAAGCATGAAGCTTTGGCAACTCCCATTCCTTGGCTTGATTTACTAGACAGCAGGTCAAAAAATGTGGACAAGGGTGGTTATATGAGATTGGGTTGCTCATTACCTTGATGATAAACAGAGATCGAGCTGTCTACTAATCCCTCCAGCAAGTACAGAACGTCCTCTAAAGCATCCCTCGCGGTATTGAATTCGTCGACAGTGAGGTTAGAAGAACAACATGATTCTGTGAAAGTATTTTGCATTTCCCTGAGTTCAAACCTCAACAAAGTGATTGAGTTTTTCAATGCTTCTCTCTCCCGCGAAGCAGAGTGTTGCAGCCCGGTGGTGACAGTGTGGGAAGGAGGACGGGGGAGTGCTTTCACAAATTTAGGGAGAACTGTGAGAAAGAGCCGTGCATAACCTTTTGATTCGTCACAAAGCCGCATACTGTCTTGAAACTATAGCAATCAACAGCTCTAGCAAATAATTTGCGCGGGCAAGGAACCTCTTCTTTCAGAAGCAGAATGAATTAGAAGTTCAGTGAAGCTTGCGCGGGGTAACTAACAATCAGCGCTTCTTCAAATCCTCGCGGCCCACCTTAGCGCTCTCTCATCTTTTCCAAGTGTCTTAAAACAATCAACACACCTATATCCTTTGCCCTCTTGTCTTTTTTGGTACTCCTAAGCATCTTTTTACATTTGATGGTGAGCATGTATTCCATGGAGGACCGTACTATCTATGATTCTGCGCGTTTGTGTTCCAGGCTCATTGAGCAAAGCTTCGCAAAAGTCGAAAACAACAGCGAAAAAAGCTTAATTATTGAAGAGCTAAAGGGACACTTCTATCTCTGGGCAAAATATGTCGGAGCATTTGCGGCACAAAGAGCATCTCTGGATTCTCGGCTGGCTCCATTTCCGGATATAAAAGACATGATTATCGAGCTTCTTGATATGGTGGAAAGAAACATACAGTGGGGTACGTGTAGGAGGCACCTGTTCGGGAGGTGAATATATTCAGAACTAACAAGACTACAGAACTTGATATTGCTTCAGATGCTCAGGAGCAGACCGGTTCAATTACTGATGACGAAGCCGACGAGACGGACTTTCCTGCTATAGCTAGACCAGGATTGGAAGCCGCCGGCACAGCAATCAATCAACTTATAGTTTTGGGAGCTTCTATACGACGTTCGGGACGACAAGGCCATCGGCCAAGATATCCTGTCCATAGCGGTGGATACGAACAGTCGCTCTGTTGTCTGCTTGTGAGTAGAAAGTTCCCCCACGCACGGCAAGCCCTTTGCGACCAAATCGGCACATCCATACATGTCCGTGGGTCATCTATGCAGTATCTCAAGAGACACAATGAGAAACTGGCGTATGAACGGAAGGACTTGTTAGACCCAGATGCTTCAGTACAGGGCGGTGCAAATGATAAGTCAGGAACAACGGATTTTCCAAGCATAATATCCCACGATAGAGGCAATAGCGAACACCATGCAAGCACAGCGGTCGACACTGTGCCGTCTCATGTTGTGCGAAATAATATTTCCCGGAGCAAGAAACCCAGTGGGTCTATTATAAGCCGAGGCTCTACTGTCCAAGAAAATCAAGACACATCATTCTATTATCCCCCCAGACCACGGCCAAAATCTGGAGAAAAATACATATCCTGCAGTATTTGTTCTGAGCCATTGAAAAGCAGCAAGCTATCAGAAGACTCGTGGAAGTGAGTAGACAGTTAATACTTGACAATCAGGCGACTAAACAAATTGAACTAGGGTTCACATCGACCGGGATCTCGAGCCATATATTTGTCTTTCCGAAGAATGCAGAGAGCCGCCTCGGTTTTTCAAATCCAAAAATGATTGGACGGAGCATATGCAAACGCGACATACTATCAACTGGGCACAAAAGATTCACACGGAGAAGTGGTACTGTGACGTTGAGCACGTCGAACCACTAGAATTTGATCGTAAAGAGTCATTTCTAACCCATCTCAAAGGTGAACATGGTGAAAAACTCTCAAAATCGCAGCTCCAAGGGCGAGCGAGACGCAACAAAAGAGTAGCAACCCGTGACCCTTTCATATGTCCTCTCTGTGATTGTGTACCGGCGAGCTTGCTACCCCTTATCAAGGAACGGCCCTATAAACAGCTCTCGGATCACATCGCAGAGCATTTGAAGTCATTGGGTTTTCTCTCGTTGTCATATGTACAAGACAGTCTCGACGATACGTGGAGTATTCAGGGAGGCTCGGGCGAGAGCAGCACTAATGCAGATGCTAGAAAGACCCAAAGCTCCCCGCAGCATCACCTTACAGGACCGTTGGATGATATGCCTATTGTAGTAGTTACTCATGATGGGAAACGAATAATTGATGGACCGAATCCCTCCGAATTCGACATCCAAGAAGATGATGATCCGCCACGCCTCAGCGAGCCGGAAAACTGGCTGTTCTTACACCCAAAAGATTTGCCGACAGACTTTGAGCTCCTAGGTAAAAGATTATTTAATCGCCCCCTTCCGGTCGAAGATGAACAGAGGAAGGACGGAAACAACGAAATGCTGTCGGATAAGGAGGGCGATATCAATGCTCAGGGTGGCCATTTTGACAATGCCCCACAAGTGTCTAGCACCGAAGTAGTTGACAAGACTTTAACAATGGAGCATCCTATCGAGTTCAACACCAGTGTTCTTGCAAACAAACGCAGTCGGCTTGATGATGACGAAGAGGGGGTGGAAGGCGTGGACGGTCTTGAGCTGGGCATATCAGCATTGAAAATGGGAGATACCGATGGGGTCCCCCCGTTTTTGTGCCAGTCGCCACAAGGTTGGTTCCTTTTATTTTTTTCTTTCCCTCTCTTTCGGGGTTTTGGCGGATCGTTTGGTCGGGCTGTCGTTGGGTCATGTGGCTCATAGTATCGTCTCAGAAATTCACAAAAAATTCGACGAAGTCGAAGAGATCCAAAGAGCACGAGTCAACGAAGGCACCATGACGCAGGATCCGTCGCATCGCTGGGCGTTGGAGAATGACACAGAGGTCAAGGCAAGAAATCGATACTTAAATGTGCAGGCGTGGGCAAATTTTCGCATCCATCTGCGGGTGCCCGATGGCAAGTGCGACTTCATCAATGCGTCGCCGATCGTGTTGGGGGATTTGCTCTCCCAGGAGGAACGCAGATATATTGCCACCCAGGTGAGTGCGGGTATCATCTCATTGTTGAAGGCTGTCTCCAACCTCGTTCTGCTGCATAGGGCCCGAAACTCGGAAATATCACACACTTCTGGCAGATGGTTTTTCATGAAACCAAGGACGTTGGCGTGGTCGTCATGCTCACCCAGACCTTCGAGTCTGGTCGGGAAAAGTGCTCCCAGTATTTCCCTCTCAGCAGCCAGAATCCCACCATGGTTCTGCGTGAAGAAAAAAGCGACCATTCTGCGAACGACGCTTCCGAGGAGGACATGGATGACGGGGTGCTGGGACATGTCACATTATTAGAAACAGTGGTCGATGTTCAATCACGCTCAGAAGTTCGCAAAATGCAGCTCACATTCGGATCCGAGTCAAAGATTGTCTGGCACTTCCTCTTCCCCGAATGGGCGGATTACACCAAACCCGAGGGCGAGGTTCGCGACGCCCTGCTCCATCTGATTACGCTATCGACGTCCAAGTGCTCGCCGGATAACCCGCTGATTGTGCACTGCAGTGCAGGGGTCGGTCGCACAGGCGTGTTTATCGCGCTCGATCATCTCTTGCAGGAGCTTGAGTCGGGACAATTGCTCCGAGTGACTGGTGATGTGGACCCCGTCTTCGAGACCGTCAACCAGATGCGCGAGCAACGCATGATGATGGTGTACAATGAGATGCAGTTTCATTTTATCTACGAGGTGCTCCGCGAGAAGGTGGATTTGAAGCTGGGAAAGACCTCGAAGTTCAAGGAGCGACGGTCAGATGAGCGATCAACAAAAATGGCCAAGATGTCGGGTGATTTTCTACCCTCGTCCAAGGCCGACCTGGAATCTGTTCCATGAAATTGTGAGCATCCACGATCATTCTCTTCCAATAAGTATATCTACCCTGATATTTTCAGGCTCATTAGATGGGCACCCATTTGCCATGGGCTCCAAAGAGGGTAGAAGTCTGTTCAGGCTGTGCCAAAATTTGCGATTATCGTCACTGTTGGACATATAGATCTCTTTAAAATCACGATATTCTGTAGGTGCTCGCTTTGCAAGTCACTCTCTGGTAACTTCATGCTCGCCACGCCTTTGATAATACCGTACATCGCGGAAAATGTCCCCATGGGAAAATACCTGGGCACCTGGTTCCCCTTCACACAGTCTTCGGCGTGCGGCCTCTGTCCATTTAGTAGATTCATGCAAATTTAAAGCCCAATACAATTTTCCAGGGCTAAGTCATTCTATAGCCGCAGAATTCCACGCTTAAGCCGAGGGGCATCTTCTTACATTCCAGTAACCCACCGTCACCGCACAGTCCGGAGTATAGTAGATAAGGACACTTCCTTCGAGAATGATAGACACTACATACCCTCGTTACATATTTGCTACCGACCATATGATACTTGCCGCGTTTTCATGTGGATCTGGAAGTGGGTCAGAGGAAAGTTTTCGCTAATATAAAAGATATTTATATCTGGAACAACTGTGCTGCGACTGGCTTGTAAAAATATAGACAACTCAACAGCAATATAAAGTGGGGATTTGTCTTCAACATCTAAGACCTAGTGGATTCTACCACTACCACCCTGTTAAGCATAGAGACAATGCAGCTACTCTATTACCCCTGACATCATTCATTCACTGTAGAGCCAACAAGTCAATTACCCCCCAATCACTCCTTCAACCACCACACCTTCAAGTACGCTTCAGGAGTATTGGACAAAGCACACACGCCTCCAGCGCCTATCAACTTATCAACGAACAGTAGGTGGATCGCCTAGACTTGTCTGCCCCTCACATCCAAGATACAGTACTATCATATACGGAGACCGGACATTCCCCCCTCCCCCCTCCCGGGGCTCCCGACCCCGCTCGGTGGCTTTCCGGTTGCAGCGACATGCAGGTCACCAACATGCCAATGGATACCTTTGGAGTTATTGCCCGGGTCCGCTGTCGCCTAAATTCCACCGGATGACCTAACTAAGTTCCAGGCAGAGAGGCTTTAAATCTACGGTCAACTAGTTTAGGCGAGTAAGGAAACTCGTGCTCGATGATAAGATAAGTTTAGTTTGGAGACTAGGGCCCTTAAGTTCGTCATATGATCTGATTTGACCCCGGTCGCATTATACAGTCATTAAGGTATTAGACAGGCTAATTATGCAGATGTCTAAGTTGATTATCTCTGGAGACGGCAGATACGTGGTGTGCGCTATTTTGTTATTTATTTGACCTCTCCCTAGCCATGATGAAGTCATCAACAAGTCCAGTCATTACTCCGTACAGTATTGCGAAACACATTGAAGGAGTTGCATATTGAGAGGGTCTCGCTTGGTCTCACACTGGCCTGGCACTGGCCGGTCACTATCCAGCAATGCAAAGTGAATTGTTCTCAGTGATCAACATGACTCGCAACCTCTCTAGGTAGGACCACAGCGCTGTGTTTGGGTTAAAAAGACCCCAATATTAACACCTACATTCCACCTGGAGCGGATCGGAGCAAGTCTACAGACCACCAATGATATCAGCTTGTGTGGCTCTGTTGCTGTACCTAGGTCATTGGCTTGTGTCTTTACTTCGGACAGGGGAGATGGGATCTCATCATCTCATTGCATGATTACACCGCTAGGATCCCACTAGCTCAATCTAATGGTCAGAACCTATCTCTGATGCGGGGTGATGGTGGTACCTGAGCCTACTTCAGTATTTCCCTAAGCATTTGCAACTTCCAGCCGCTCCGAAAGTGCCAGGCTGCAATTGGTCTTGTTGTTCCGCCGCGTCGGAACGCTTTTACCACATTCTTTGCGCAGTGCATTCCTATACAAAACCATTCCATCGGACGAGATTGGAATACCGAACCGCGCAGCAGCCGATAAGATCACGATCATATTTTACACTCATTCCATTCCAAGCGATTTCCCAACCATAACTAAACTAGGAACCCCAGTTCGAGTTTCGGCCGACTCCACAACAATTTCTTTCCCCAGATAATGCTCCTCCGAAGGATGCTCGGCGCTCACATTGACACAACCTCACGGGCTCTGCTCATCCGTCTCGCCCCCACCCCTAATCCGAATAGGTCAGGGATCGTCCCTTTGTTGGATTTGGTCCCAGCACGGGCGGTTTGAGTTCCTCTTTCGACTCCTGTAGTGCGATGCCCCCTTATCTGGAAGGGGTAAGAGGTATCTTTCGAGTACGATATCGGGTCAGTATCATCACTAGGTAGGTGCTGGTTGAGAAGCTCGCTTGGGTCTTGGGACACAAGAGGGGGGGGGGGGAGTTTAATTTATCTTACGCGATATGGAAGATTGGGATAGGAAGCGAGGGAAACGAACGGGTCTGATAACTGTCTTGTTGGAGGTATATCAACAATGTGGTGACATGCGTCTCGCGCGCTTGAGTCAATATGGGCCAGATTCGGACTTCAATGGCAGTTCGACGCCTGTCATACAGTGGTACAGATTCCAGGGAGTGGGGTCCATCGAAGTTTGGTTCCGCATTCCGCTACGGTACAAGGGGTTGCAGACTGAGTCAAGTCAAGTCAAGTCATGTACATACATGTCTTGGGAGGCTTTGGCGTTGGGAAAGGGAGGGGGAGCGGGCCATCGCCAAAACTACCCACGATCGTCTATAGCCGCATCGGGGATGTTGACAGCCTCAGCCGACTGTGGTCTTTGTCGCCTCGTGCGAGCTCCCTAGACTATGCATTAGGCACAGGGGCTAACTACTGTATGTGGAATCCCATGAACCGAGTTCTTGGCTTCTGGGATGGGAAGTGAGGACGCAGGTCTCCGCTTAGCAACTCCCGAGATACTATCCTCCAGCATGACATTAAGCGACGTGCTGTAAGTGAAGTAGCTCAACAACTTAGGTTTCAATGTCCCTTTAAGAAGGGTTGGCATTCCATGGTTGGGATAGATATCAGGGGGTGGTGGGCCACCGCCTTGGCTGGTTTGACTATCTTCAATTCCATACTTGGTAATTTACTTCCCCAGGCGGTCGGGTTTTGGAAGAGAATACCGATTGCGAAAACTCTCCATGACATAAGTACATTAATGTTAAAGAGATATTATTAGTCTGTATGCACTGTCCCGTACACACCATGGAAGACTCACAGCAGCTAAACTAAAGCCAGCAGAACCAACAATGGCGTGCGCAAGTTCTCCGCACGAAGGATGCTCCCTTCCACATTTTATAGCTTGTAAGTAGCTGGACAATTTTCTGCCCGTAATTGACTGTTACCGAACTAGTCGTACCAAGCTTATCCAAAACGACTTTTTCTCCACTTTCCAAACCTCGATTTTCCGAGGAAGTTAGGAAGTTAGGAAACTTTGGGAGAGGATTGTGGGCTGTTGAAGATGGATCGACCGGGAAAATCTCCTTCTCCTTCCTTGAACGGAATCTCTCCTGATTGTCAAATGATAGTCAAATCAGTAGCCTGTTTAATTGGTTTAGAACACCCATTTCAATCCAGGCTGTTGGACGCATTCCAACATTTTTCTCTTCGTTTTCTTTCTCTTCTTTTCTTTTCTTTTCTTTTGATTTTTTTTTGAGGGGCAACTGGGTACAAGCCACGGCCATCTCCGTCTACAAATGTAACCTACACAATATACAGCCCTCAAGTTCCCACTCCCAACAGTTGAACAAACAAATCAGGCCGAACCCCCCAGCAAACAAGTGGAACCAAGATGGAGCCCCCCCAAAAATCCCATTGCGTTCACGGCAAAAAGCCAAGGTTGTGGGGAAGAAGATTTGCTGCCCCGTCGAATGGAAATCCTGAAACACGCAAGATAGCTGGGTGATTTGCGCCCCCGTCGTCGCCCGCCCCGGTGTCAAGCGCAGTGACGCGGTTGGCAGAGGAAAGCCCCGAATCAGATGTCTGGATGGGCGACGTTTGCTGTGTCGATCACGCGGGAACTCCTTACTTTGATCTGCTGGCGGTTGCGACTAACTGATCCCATTTGGCTACTAACTAGTTGACTAGTAGTATGGTGGTTACTGTATTGTGTATTTCATGTCTTTTACACTGTCTGTTGTGTATGCTGTCAAAAGGTGTTGGTTTTAGGTCTCGGTTGTATACTGCCCTAGGGAGCTGGTATGACCTCGGCTAGGCGTGAGAATGGAGCTATAGATAGCTGTTCCAGCTGAAGGTATGAAACCATGATTACGAGTCAGTCCATAGAGAGGTTCAAATTTCAAAGGGGGAAAAAAAAAAGGGAAAATTTGAGCGAGAACGAAGGGAAAATAAATGTGGGTCGCCTGGATTACGCTGCTCCGCATGCGGCAAATCACCACATCCTAAACTTATCACCACCACCTGCTTATCTGCGTATCTACCTTACCATCTCTACACATCTACATAGTTATCGTATAGGTAGGTATGTAATCAACAGTATGAGCAGTTGGAGCGAGTGGGTATCCTAAACACTGAGTACTATCATCCGATTCTATCCAAAAGTATAAAGTGCATAAATATTGAACTCAAGTAGGTATCAGGTACAGTTAGGTCCACTTGCAGCAATGTACCTGGCACACCGACAAATCCAGCATGTCTAGAAGACCAAAAAGAAGGTTTACGCAGTCTTTTGATTATTGAGCGGGTTCCCGGACGTCCCCTCACTTCCAAAAGGAGCCTCAGCCGCGTCTGGTTCAAGCGTGCGTGGATCCGAGATCATTGACATTCGCCAGTATCTGTCCTAGGGGCGGCGCCCTTCCCGTAAATGCAGCCAAGGGGGAAGGCGTTCAGGGAGAGATTTAGCCGATCTTGTGCTAAATCTTCAAGATACGTACATAAATTTTCGTAATGAGTTCGACTTCCATGTGGCAAGCGGATTTTGGCTCTATTTGGTTATCCTGCGGTAGGTGAGTAAGGGCGTATGGTCTGGACAGAAGTAGGTACCCATGAGGCAAATATATGAGGCTTCAATATGAGTGAATTGTAGCCTATTCGGATCGCGACCGGCCCACCGTACAATTGGGGGATGGATTATGGTGATGGTGCACACATAACAAGGACGGTTTCAATGCACTGCGCTTGCATAAGGAGCCCAAACCTTGTTGTCTGGAGATTGACTCTACATTAGCCTTGTTCACAACCTAACTAACTAGGTGTCTTTTGTCGAGCCACGTTTTTCTAGTCAGGTCCCATGCTGGATACTGGACACTGGACACTTGGCTAGTGGTGAGGTGAGTAGATGGGTATTGTTTTCATATATGTGTGAGAAGAATTCTGATATTAACGGTTGAACTGGAGACGACATCTGTAGGGGTCATCCTTGATTGTTAATGGTTCGGGTATTGCTTAATGCCACGGTACACGGGACGGGGTCAGGATTACCCACAAGGCTGCTACTCTGGGACAACCGGACAGCGGAACATCAACAGGGGATGATCGGTCAGAAGTTCGGTTCACTTGGGCGGAGCTGGTTGATCCATGGAACAGACAGACGGGAGTTTTCCACTGGTAGCCTGTAGATGGTACGGAGAGACAGCTGGGAGGAAACTGGTCGGTACGACTCGATATCGCCATTACTTATGGAGGGATACTATGTAGAGGATATTATGTGGAGTACTATAGAGGCAAGGTTGTAGATGAGTAGGTTACCCAAGATGACGAAGACGAAGACGAAGATCCGGGGATCATCGTGCCCAGTCGTCGTCAGATCATCTCATTACCTACAATACCTAGTAGGGTAATACCCTGCGAGCCAGCTTGGGTGGGATAGCTGTCTGTCTATCATGAGGAGAGGTCGGTCGCACTCTAATTAGTGTATTCAGATTAGATTAACCGCCATTTCCTGGCGCGTCAGAAGATGATTAGAACCACTATCGAGGACCGGCTACACAACGATCGGAGAAACAGAATCACTATCATGATTGGTGTACACCCCCATCTGTCGATTATTTTGTACGTACTAGTCTGGCGAGAAGAGCCCACCTCGAGACGGTCGCTACCAGACTGTTTCTCCGAACCTCCGTGTGTTGCCTGCCCGTGTGCCAGTGTGGTCCTCGGGAGACGACCCCGTTCAGATGTTGGCGTTGCATTTTAGCCTTTAGGTCGGAGTTGGGTGTGGTCGCAAATCAGCGTCGGATTTGCTCATCCAATCGCTCGTTTTATGTACAGTTTGCCAGATATTAATTGATGGTCAGGTATGTGGTCTCATGTGTTCCACTGTTCAGCACGTTCTCTTCTGGTTGACTCTTATTTATCGTTCCTTGTTTCTTATCTTTTTGTTTCATTTTTTATTCCATTTATTCACCATTTTATTCATCATTTACTTGCTCCATCTAAGTGGACGTTTTTGAGATTTTTCCTTTTCCTTTTCTTTTTCTTTCTTCTTCAAGAGATTTTATTATGCGGTACAGAGGCCCCAGCTTTGAAAAAGGTGGGATATCTGCAAAGCTAGGATTTCTTTGTCGTCAACCCCACATCGCGAAGAAAGAGTACCCCATACAGTATGAAGAGAGCGAGGTGTTTTCGGAGGGATTTAGTGGCCATGCATTCCGCCAGGTGTACACCGTATGTCGCCTCAACAGGAGGTATAGAGAGAGAGAGAGAGAGAGAAATGGTACGGATACTACTAGGGGGTTTTAATTAGTGTATTATTGGTAATCCTAAACCAAGATACGGAATGGGGTACCTGGATCTTCCGGCCGAACCACAGTATCTGCAGCGGTACCTTGTGGGTGCAGCTGAACCGTACCGACTCCGTACTTGCCAGACCTACGCAGTTACTCCCATACAGCCCCAGAGTAGGTTGTCTTACCCCTTTAGCAGGTTGCCTGTGCTAGTGCGGATATGGGATCGGATGGGATGGACGGACCTCTGCACGGTTGGCTGATGTTGGAAAAGGGAGTTTCAGGAGAGTCATGAGGGGTATTATCGTCATTATGATTTCTCTGGTTTTCTCGTATGATGTTAATAGCTTAGATTGGAATCGTTCATTGAATGAAGGTTCATGACCCCGTTGAATTCCCTTACCGTATCCATCAACATACAATAATACCACCCTGATTGTGCATTGGCTTTGGTAATGACTTGCAGCTGCAATAATAGTAATCGGGAGATACCAAGCTAATACTGGGCATATTGGATTTTGAATTGTCTATGATTATTATTATCATGGTCATTTTATTTTTTATTATTTTCATTATCTTCATTATTATTATCATTATTATTATCAGTTGATTATTATTTTATTTTTATTATACGACGATTACGCCAGATCGATTCCCCCTCCCCCCCTCGTGGATTTTCCGACCACATCCCCATAACATTACGAGGGAAAAAAGTAAAAGGAAGAAAGAAGCTCTTGTTTATATAATTTTTTTTTCATCGCTATTGTTAATTTTATTTTTAAACCCCAACCGAAATAAAGAAAATAAACTTCACGAGGGAAAGAGAGAAAAAAAGGCAGTTTCCAGTGTGTGGGAGAGAGAAAGAACTGCGTGCTTGCTCGCTTTTTCTCAGGGAAAAGCCCGTCCGTCAGACTCCGCCTGTCAGTCTCCCCTAAAGCCCGTCCGCGACTAGCAGACCGTCCAATCCATCCATCCATCTCTCTCCCATCCCATTCTATCCCCAGGTCGATTATCTCTCTCTTCTCTCTCTCTCTCTCTCTCCCTCTCCTAATTCCTCTCCTCTCCTCCCCTCTTCCACTCCCTCTGTCAACCCCTCCTACCCATTCATCTCTCTCCCATCTATCTCCCATCTCTCTCCCATCTCTCTCCCATCTCTCTCTCCCTTACTCCTCACCTTCCTTCTCTTCCTTCAACTCTTACCAATCCAAGTGAACGGCCCCATCTTCTGCTTGATTCAGAAGATAAGGCGCCTTTCCAAGGATTTGGTTCTTCTCTCTTCTCTTCTGTTCCTCACTTGCTTCTTCTTTTTCTTCATTTTCTTCTTCCTTTCTGGTTTCGCGTCCTCTTGGTTTTCTTTTCTGCTCCTCACCTCATCGCCGTCGCTTTTCTGCATCTGATCCACCGGCTTTCGACACTTCTTCCCCTTTTCACGCCTCCCCCGTGTACATGGCTCGACCGCTCTAGATAGCATCTGCCATCCTGGAGCCTTTGTGTTCCTTACGTCGCCCCTCCCCCCCGTATCCGGCTCCTCTCTTCGATCGCCTGATTCGAGCCTTTCCTTTCGCCGTCGACAACATTCCTTTCTCTGCATTCTCCTAAGCGTCTCCTTTTAATCTTTGTATCAATATAATCTCTTTTGTTTCTTCTGCATCTATTAGAACAGGTACGCTTTCCCCTCCCCAACCAGTGATTACCCCCCGGAGGAACAAAAAAGATGATCATTCGTCGGCAGACGTGGTCGACCTTGGAGAGTGCAGCCAATGTGGGAACGATGTTGCCCTTGTGCAATCCAAACTGACGACTACGTGGTACAGGATCTTCTTCCATTTTTTTTCTCCTTCCTTCCTCCCCTCCCCTCGAGTTGTCCCCTCACACGACTTCTCTTCCTCCTGACTTGGGTTCCGCGGATTCTGGCAAGCTCGCTTGACGATACATCATCGAACGGCGTCGGCCCCTACGCGTCGGAGCACCTCCTTTCCGAACTGTGGAGAAGAACATCATGGCTGCGTTGGTACAGACAATTCCTCAGCAAGGTGGCACGGTTCCTGTGCTTCAGACTCGCCCTTCCTCCTCATCGGGCACCTTTACTCCCTCTCAGCCCTCCCAACAGCAGAACCCGCGGAATCCTGCCGTGCCCTGGAATACCTACAACTCGATGGGCAACTCAGGCAGTTATCGGGCAGGCCACCCGGTCGTGGCCCCCTACGCCTTCACCAGCACCCCAAACGTCCCCAACTCCACCAACTCTCAAAACCGTCAATCCTGGTCCCCTCATCTGAGGCCCGAACACCGCACCTCCTCTGCCCCGTCCGCCCCTCAAGTGTCGTTCGGTCCTGGTCCCGGCGGAGTCAACCCGCGATTAGCCAACCATCCTGCAGCTGGTTCTGTATCGACCTCCTCAAACTCCTCCGTCCAGTCGTACGTCTCGAAAGACGACACGGCGATTCCGTCTAAGCAGCATCAAGCTGAACCGCCTCTCCGCCCCCTGTCGACCGCCAACCTTCCCTCTCCTCCCGCCTTTATGAACATATCTTCTCCGACCGTATCTCGCCCCTCTCCAGATCGCTACCGCCGTGGGAATCGACGACCAGACAGTCTGGCGACCCCTCCTGCCACGACATCGACGAGTAATCCACCGTCGGCTCGTGGGACCGTTGACGATCAACTGTTACCACCAAGTGCCTCTGGACCTAAACCCTCAGGCCATAATCGAGTGTCCAGTGCGGACGACACCCTCCGACGGGAAAAGTCGCAGCCAGAACTAGCCAAGAGATATCGGCGTCGGAGCTGGGGAAATATAGATAATGCTGGACTCATTAACCTACAGCTCCATTTGCCGACGTCGTCTCCGATCCCGACCACCGGGGGTCAAGACTACTTCGACCGGCCACGGTCGGCTCAGTCGCACCGTGATGTCACAGGAAGCACCCCCTCCGCCAATTCGTCCAGCTCTTCGGTGCCAGAGGCGAGCCAACCGGATACGGCGTCGTCGTCCAACAAGGCCACTCCCAAGGTGGAGGAGCCGAAGCGGACGACCAAACCGTCGCCGTTGTCCCAACCAGTGTCATCGGATCCTCCTCCTCCAGAGTCAACGCCTGCCCCGCCCCAAAGCAGGGGAAGACCGGAGAGCATTGCAGCCCAACGCCTCACCGATCTCAAGAATGAGCCGAACCGGCCGGGGAAATCTCGGCTGCGAAGGGCTTTCTCTTTTGGGAGTGCGTCGGAGCTCTTGAAAGCGTCGCAGCAGAGCAGCGTCAGTAAGCGGGAGGCCATCGCGGTGGAGAAGGCCCGCCGGGACCTTCTTCAGGAGGAGTTGGGACCGGAACAGGCGGCGATCGCTGAGCAGCAAGAAGCTGGTGGCTTGGGTGAAAGTATCTATTCTCACCATCAAGGCCGGTTTTTCAACAGCTCTACGGACAACCTCTCTGTGTCTTCGACGGCATCGTCGGCTTCCATAATGCTCCGAAAGATGGGCAAGGGAGTGAAGCGGTCTGGGCGGTCCCTCGTGGGCTTATTCCGCCCCAAGTCCGTGATGAGCACTGCTTCGAATGACGGACCTCTTGAGGCGATGGCCCCTCAGCTGTCCGTGGTTAACGTCGAGGCAGACCGGCAGAATGGAACTGGCATCCCTGATCCACCAGAGCCCCCTCGCGCTGGCAATGGGTTCGCCAAGATTGAACAAATCGGCGCCGATACCTCAGCACACGATGGTGACGCAGTGGACAAGTCCCAATCACGCAAGAGCATCGTCGGGGGCGATAGGGAGCGAGCCGAAGTTCTTGCCGCGGTTCGGAAGGGTATCCTCAAAAGTTAGTGGCCCCTCGAGTGAATTGCCGAACCCCTTAGCTAACATCTACCTAGAAACCTACTCCGAGCCGGCGATCCCCACCATCAATCAGGGCACCGAGTCCCCGCACTCTAGTGCCCCCAGCACTCCTGAGGACCAGGCTCGGTCCGGGAAACGTGCCGACGCGGTCAAGATTGCTGGTGTTGATGACTACCTGTCGGACGGTCGACTCGTCAGCGAAAGCAAGAGTGCCCCGGTCTCCCCGAACGCGATGATGTCCAAGAGCCTTATCTTCAGCCCACGGATACAGTTCCACGATACCTGGCCCAGTGGAGAATATGATCGACGGGGAGACATCGCGACGTGCAACCGTTTGACTCCGCTGCTTGCTCAGCAGATTAAGGAGGAGCTGAACAACTTCAAGATGGTGCGTCGTCATTTCCCAGCTGTTGCAATCAGTACTAACTAGGTATTAGGAGATGGAAGTTCACGAGACGTCGAAGGTCTATACCCACTTTCTTTAATCGTTGCATTTCGAACGGCGTTACGCTCTGTCACCTGTGTCTTTTAATTCTCGGACGGCTGTTGGATTGTGGACGGTGTGATATGCGGCCTTGGTGTCTTGAATCTGTAGACTTTTTTCTTTCTCTAGAGCGGATGTTCACTGCGTCTCCGTCGTCGATGCGGGGGTACGGAGTGATTACTCAGCGACGTGATTCTGGCGGTATGGCAGTGTGAACCTCTCATGACGCTTTTTGCGCTTTGCGTCGTTAATGGGTTGGATCGTGCTTGACGATTCCTTTACATGCGTGCCTTGCCCGCTCCGGATCATTTGGCATCGAGCGTCGATCTACTCTGCACGGCGATCTTGGGCTTCAAATCTATCGTCTTCGCTTCGGGCTGTTAGGCAACTCTTCATTTGGTCTGATTGCGACCTTGACGCTTTTCTTTCGAGGTTGACGTGCATGCGAGCCTCCGTTTCAAATACTAATCTGCTTCTTTTCTTTGTGAGCGTGGAAGTTGGGCACTATCTGCTTGGTTGTCAGTCCGTCAATCTTCGGTTCCTATCTTCTGATTTATTCTTGATTGTGGCCATGGGCCACCGTACATAAAGCATTGCGGCAATGGTTCAGTGGTATGCTTTGGCCGGTCGGGTACATGCAGCATCCTGAATTTCTCTTCTCTTTTCTTTCTTTTCTTCTCTTTACCTGTGAACTGCATCCAACTTCATTCTGTATCTTTTGACTTCGGCGTCGCTATTTTACGTTCGCTCGAACCTTCCATACATGTTGCCGGTAATAACTTTTGTTTGGACGGTATGCAACAACAACACATTTCGCTTGCCTTCATTTGAAGATCTTTCTCTTTTTCTTTCTTTCAGCATCATGGCCTTTGCTGTTTTGATATTGTGTTGTTTTTTTTCCCTTTTCTTTCCATTCATGTTGTCCAGCGCGAGCGAGAATCGGTGCCAGCCCTAAAAGCAAGAGAGAATGCCAAGACCCGGTAGGGTTTAATACGCCTACATCTATACTGATATTCGTAGATCAGTTCAACAGGACCATCTGTCTCAGATGATGGTGTAATTTGAGAGTGATCTGTCTGGCACTGTCCATTGACAACACCTTAGCAAAGGCGACCGTCTACAGGGGGTTAATCACAGTCGGATCTCACTGCAATATCAATATGGTGATCATTATTGCAAATGGTTCTGAGGTTTGAAACAGATAACAACCTTGTCTTCATTCATATATTCATATAAAAATACTCAGGTAGAATCAGACCATTTCATGAATCCGTCACATGGTATGTGAGTGATGTGTCTATCCCTGACACTACTTACTACTGTAGGTAGCTAGTATAATAACCTCACAGTAGACAGATAAGTAATTATCCAACACCGATAGATCGAGTAGATGCATGGTGACGGCATGTATACGACTGATGTCATTCTGTATGGCGGAATAACATGAGTGGATGGTGGCTAGGGGGGGGGAGGGGTGAGTTGGTCCTATCTGAATGGCTACTGATGGACTACTTTGTTTGATGGAGGTTAAAAAGTCAAGTATATGTATGTATATTGCTAACTGGTTGGCTTGAGACCTGGATATATTGGATTGAACCTAGTGTTATCTGTGGGGGACGTATAGAAATCACGAGGTACCTACCTACCTGTCATCCTTCCCTGGAACAATGGATGGATCGATGGATGGATGCACTATACCAGCGCATAAATCGGAGGTCAGTCTCCTCCGAACAGGTGGACACCTCTTCCGCGATGATAAGTAATCCTTATACAAGGAGATAGTGGACGTGGAAGAGACACGGGGCATGGTTGACTATAATGGAGACACGGTACGGACTCGTGATTGGAGATGGTAGATGGATCGATCAGGTTGCTGGAAGACATGGGCTGAAACGGGGGTGTCATGTAGGTATTGCAGGCATGAAGTGTACCGATGTATAGGTATCTATCTATTCATAACTTCCATGATCTAGTTAGGTGCGGGAAGCTGGCTTGGATTGTTTGATTGATTGGTTTGATTGATTGGACAGGTTGGTCGAAGATGGTCTGTATATTACTATATACCTAGGTGTTATGCATGATCTAGACTCTCACCCTGCTGGCGGAATAGGCAGAGGATCAACAGTGATTAATATATGAAGGTGGTGTGCAAATATAGTTCTATTAAAAAATACAGCTTCCAGAACGGGAACGAATCGCACACAGTACATTAGTAGCTGAAGTACACACACCCCCAGCTCCAGGCCCACACCGACGGCCGAGACCCTGGTACGTACTTCGTACTGGGTGGTGGATCATTTAACCTCTCGGCTCTGATCAGATATTATAGATGGGTGGGTGGGTACATAGGTGGCAGGTAACCTTCACGCAAAAGTGCTTCTAGTGATTTGATTCTTGGATCCTTTGGATTTATTTCTGTGGAGTTGTAGCTAGGTATCATACCTGGACAGGTAGGTACTCAGCTCAGCTACTGTGTCACTCACTCACGTGCTCCTGCGAGAGTAAGTCTAGTGAGTTGGATGAGTAGGGAGGGTGGTGCCCGAGTACCTAGCTAGCTGAATATGCAGTTTTGTTAATGTTACGTATGTCGTATCATTCGTTCTTTGGGTGGCAGGTTTATAGAAGAGAGTAGATAATATAAAATCCTGTATTGCATCATCAACCGATGCTTCTTTTCCTTTCCTTCCACGCCCCGACGTCAATCTCGACGCTGGCGGGTCTGTATCTGATCTGTATGAACTAGAACTATGTACAACAACACACATGGTATAGGGTGAAACGATAAAACAATAACACAAAAAAGAAAGGTAACACAAAAAGGGGAAGGAAAAAAAGGGACACTAAAAAAAAAAAAAGGTAAAAAATACAGTGTAAAACTATTCCAACAATTAGCAATGATACCATCCAACTTTAACCAGGCTTTAAACCAATAATGATAATCATAGCCTAGGCAGGTAGCGTGGGATCATGTAAGTGTAAACTGCATGTCTGCTGTCTACCATCTGATGGTATGGATAGGCAGTCCCCCAATCAAAGAGGCCAGACGCAGGGAAACGACGGAATCGTAAATCGTCGAGCCGTAAATAAAGACAGATGCCAGGAAAACGATCCTCGTAGCTCGTGGCGTTATCTCGATTATCTCGTAAATGAGACCGCAATTATTTGCCTCGTGGCTGATGGTAGAATCAAACGATCCTAGCTGCCGTAAAGCTTAGGCATTGCGGTCAAGCACCCCAAACGGGTTGTTGCCCTTGACGTTGGCGCTGGCGCTGGAGTGGTCGTTCTCCTTGGTGGCCTTCTTGGCGCCCTTCTTGGTCACGGGCGAGAATCCCTGATCGGAGGTCTCGCTGGCGATGACGCGCGACTTCTGCTTGTTGGCGGCTGAAGCGCGCGTCCGCACGGGGGAGTTGTCCGCGGGAGCCGCCGCCTGGGCCTTCTTGGCCTGGATGGCCTTGGCCTTGTTGATCACCTCGTCATCGGTGGCTTCGCTGGTCTCGCCGTTCATTTCGACGGACTTCTGGATCTCGCGGCTGACGCCCTTGAGCGCGTCCAGACCGGCCTTCTCGGCCGAGTGCATCTGGGTCGGCTGGTGGGTGGTGGGCTCCTTGCGGTACAGGTACGAGCGGATGAAGAAGCGGACGAAGAGGAAGGTCAGCGGCAGGAGGTAGGTCACGTTGAGCCAGATGGCGAAGCCCTGGCCGCTGGTGTCCATGCAGGTCGTCATGGGGCCCACGAGGAGACGCTGTCCGGCGTCCTCGGCGTGGCCCACGTTCTCTGCGATGCCCTCGGCGCCGGCGGCGCGGAAGGCGAGCTTCTTCAGCCACGAGACGGAGCCCGCGTCGGCGGATCCGGCGGCGGCGGCAGCAGCGGCGCTGGCGGCGGACGGGTCCAGAGGGAGGGTGTAGTGCACGAACAGGTAGGACGCGGCCCACGTGGTGCCGATCAGGAACTGAGTGATCTGCATGCTGGTCAAGGAACGCTTGATGACGCCGGGGACGCGGATGCGGAGAGCGGTCACGGTGTAGTAGGTGTACATCATGGCGTGGATGGCGGAGTTGACGAGGGTGAAGATCAAGATGGGAGGCGCGACGTAGCGGATGCCCGCCCACATGCACATCATGGCGCCGGCGTGGTGGTAGGTCTGCAGGGTCGAGCTCTTCTTGCCCTTGGCCAGGATGATGGCGGTATCGACGACCTCGTAGAACTTGGACAGGTAGAAGATCCAGCCCAGGTAGGCCAGACCCTGGTTCCACAGGCGGCCGACGTCGGTCGAGTCCGGGACACCGCCTTCAGCCAGCTGGTAGGCCGGGTTCCGCATGGTCCACTGGTCGATCGACGGGTTGTAGGTGGCGGCGTTGCCGTAGCCTCGGGGGCCGTTGATCTTGCACATGGCGTCGGCCACGCTGATCAGGCCATTGGGATCGTTGCGGGCGGGGAGCGAGTTGCGGAAGGCCTTGAGCATGCCGACGAAGGTCCAGGCGGAGTAGACGGCGAGGAAGACATTGTGAAGGATGACGAAGAGCTTGAAGAGCTTGGACTGGCTGAAGCCCCAGGGCTTGTATCCGCGGGCCTTGTTGACGCGATTGAGCAGGACGACGGTGACGGCGTAGACCCCGGCGATGGTGATGGGGACGCGAACATCCAGGGCCTGGTTGTAGAGGGTGGGAGGGATGTTGAAGGGCTGGTCCCAAGTGGGTTGATCGATGATGGGAGCGGGAAGGGTGTTGGGCAGTTGGTCCGGAGGGAATCTCAACAGGGAGGAAGGCGGGAGGCCAATGCGGACGATGGCCGGTCCCGACGCGGTGTCGACATTGAAGTCGTACATGGTTGATTTGCGACAGGAAAACAACCAGTCAATGGATGGAGTAGACGGAGGAGACGGCAAAGAAGAGGAAGAACCAAATCAAGAGAAAAGACAGGATGGGGTCTTGTTATAAAAAAAATAAAATCGGAAAAAAAAAATAAATATATATATTAACTAGAGAAGGCCGGGTGGATCCAGTTGAAGATGGATCCGGCCTAGTGTATGGCAAGTGCAGATCGGCCGAAAAGAGGCAAGAAAATGGTAAGAAAATCAATTCACAAAGGATAAAAGGGCAAAGGGAGAAAAAAAAACCAAAAAAAAAACAAACGGGAAAAAATCAAGAAAAGAAAAGAGAGAATCAATCCAGACGAATAGCAATTGGTTAGGACAGAAGGACCGAGGAAACAGGCCCATGAACCGTTGAGATGATCAACCTGGCAGATCGAGAATGAGAACCTGGAGTTGATTCAATGAAGTGGGTCTGTGGATTCTGTTGGGAAGCCTCACGCAGAACCTCGGCCCAACAAGTGTTGATCCTGTGAATCCAATCAAGATAAAGATCAAAAGAATGAGTGATTGGATATATAGATATCGACATTGATTTAGAAATCATGTTCAGACAAGGATTAAATGGAGAATGGAAAGGAAAGAGGCGGACGGACTCATCCCAATGTCCACTGGTTGGTTGGGATGCAAAACTTTCTCCCGTCGGATTCCACACGCGATGCAAATGATGATGCAGCGTTCCCTACGCCACTCCCCACTGTATCTTCCATGGCACCTCGGTCCCCTTCATCCCATCCATTCGTTCCCCAGAGCCGAATCGTCATTATGATACTGTAGTATTTCAACATGGACCTTATAAGGCGCATGACTCAGCCGTACCCTTGACTAGCCGAGCTACCTGGATGAAACATAACCTGGTCTTGATTCAAAGCGTGTGTAGATTCAACAATTCTGCCTGTTTGAAGGTTACTCGGTGTAGACAACACATCGGAGTTCGAACCAATGATGTATATGTAGCATCACAGTGGTGTAAAGGTCAAGGTCCCCACCATTAAAACTGTTCTATCCGGCAGCTTATTTAGATCCTCTGGATTGCGCTAACTTGTATCCCTACTGACCTAACATTCTTTCTCTATTCGGTATTAGACTGTGGTCTCATCACTAGATCCATCCACGCCATTGACACTCATTCAGATTGATACGTCCTTCTCTGGACTTCTGAGTAATCGTGCGATCTTCTCGCTCGGCCGTCAATGCTATCCTGTCTATCAACCAAACAAAGACCTTGTACTGTCGTATGGATGGATAGATATCTAATCAACAGTAGCCCATGAAACTCTATCTTATCAATCCCTTCCCCTCCTTATGATTCATCTCCAGATAAGCAGTCGAACCTGAGCATGTCTTAGCCCGCTGCATTAGTTACAATTCTCCACTGTGCTCCAGCCTACCAACAGGGCCGACTCTACACGCTAGTCGATGATAATTCGACCCTTTCTAATTCCATCTCCAAGATATCACAGCTCTGAGTTATCGTGATGTATTTCATCACCTTTTGTACAAAACCTCAGAAATAGTATCCTAGGTATCAGGATGCATATCGCCTACCAGCTGTACTCTGTACGTAGATCTCGGAGATCACCCGAGTCTTGGCATTTACGGAGTACAGGACACGCCCCCCCATCATCCTTCTCGTCCGGGGTATGAGTCGGGATCTGCTCCAATGCATAACAAAGGCAGAAAAGACACACCGAACACAGCGGTGGCAGCAGCAAAAGTAGCCTTGGAACCTTGCATCAACGCAACGATCATGTCAGGGAGCTCTTATTGCAGCTGTGCGCCCCCCCAGCTGCGCTCATTGAGCGGTGAGTGCATACGGTAAATAATCGGTTGATTTTGATTTTTGCGGGTCGGTCTTGTTGATGTTAGGTAGGTACCTAGTGAGTGTATCTGGATGTCTGTCCTGGTGTGTGAGTAGGTTGGGACGCAATGGGGTTCATTACTTTACTTTATCCACCTATGATGGATCGAGGATTGAGTAAGTAAGTAAATAGGGTAACTTGGGAGGCCTCACTAGGGGCTTGGAATGGAGGGGCCTTCGAGCGGAACGAATGGGTGTGCTGGTTTTGATGGCCTTGATGGCGTACTGGATGTGCGGGTATGCTGCACTGGAGGGTAATTGTATGGTCAATTTACTTTTTCTTTTAGTCTTTGATACACTCGTGCTAAATCTACCAGGTCGACTGGATATTGAACAAGGCTGAACCGTAATGTTGGTGATGCGTACAGCTATCTACTCTAGACAGAATGAGGCGGATAGCAAAAATGCCCCCTTTTCTATAAACAACTCTATTCGTACAGACATCCATAGGGTTAGTCATACATAGTCACCAATCCACTCGAGAATATAATCACCCAGCCGAACGATAGGGTCACACTAGTCACCAGGCAGCAACAGATCAAACCCGCTCAGCGGGGCTTAGTGTCCAGCGGCAGCGGCGGAGGCGACGGTGCAGCCGCACCAACAGGCATAGAGCGCATCTCCACCTTCTTAGGCGGCGGCGGAGGCGGGCGCTTCTTGCGCGCGGCTTCCGCACTGACGTCGGATGATCCGATAGACGCCCCCCTAGACGCCCCCGTAGACGCCAGCCGGGGCGTACTCGCAGCAAGCGGCGTCTGAGTGCTGGGAGAGGACCGGTGAGTGTCCACGAAATTGTTGAAGCGGGAGCTGATGCCAAACTTCTCGTTGATGCCGCTGATTTTCTCTCGTCCGGCTTGGATCTTGTCTCCGTGCCGTTCGCGCAGGTCTCCCAAGGTCGAGCTGGGGGAGCTTTGCGCGGGAGACTGCGCCTGGCCGTATGTGCTCCTCCGGGCTGGCGGGGAAGGCGCCTGGGTGGGAGATGGCGCGGAGTCGGTTCTCATCTGGCGAAAGCGCGTCTGTAATTCGTTGAGAGAGCCTTGGCCGCCAGAGCCTGCGGTGGTCGGGGATGCCGAAGCACGTGGGTTGCTATCCCGCTGCCCTTGGCTGCTATTGCCCCCAATTCCGAGCGACGGGACAGAGACGCCTGCCTTCTGGAGGCGTGCGGTTGCACCCTCATTGATGTAGGGATCTGAGGGCGGTTGGGCCGAGTACACTGGAGGCGGGGCCGGCGACTGCGTGCCGGAGTTGGTGCGCGGAGGAACGCGAGGAGGGAGGCTTGGCCTGGAGGTCGACCTCGGTGACGATCTCCCGTGTTCTGTACCTGCATCTACCCGCCTCGATGGGGGCGGCGGAAGCGTGGATGTGTCGAGACCGGTCGTATTCAACCGGTACGGTACCGGGGGTGGCGCCGGCTTGTGTGCCGCTGCCTCTTGAACCTCCGACTCCGCTTGCCGTTCCTGCTGTATATGATAATTCTGCTCATCAACCTCATCCTGCGATAGCGGAGCTCCTAGCCCCCTAGAGCCCGAAGACGCCCGGCTGGCAGCAGCAGCCGGGCTATGGGCTTGGATATGCTTGGGTGGTGGCCCAAAGGATTTGGGATCCTTCAGTGACGAGAGTGGTCGGGAGACGCGCTCTTCCGTTTCTCCGTCTTTGCTGCCGCCTTTACCCATCCATCCTGCCTATGGTTGTAAGATATACAGTGAGTCAAAGCGCTGAACCAATGTGACTGAGAGACATACCACTTGATTGATGCCTTTGAAGTCGCCCCGCCAACTTTCCTTACCGCCCTCACGGCCTTTAGGGTGCCAGCCCTCTTTGATGACTCCTCTCAATCCACTCATTGCGATCCACGCAATAATCAGTAAAACTATTTGCCGATCAGACCAGGATCGGAGCGAAATGAAACAGACGAGGATTGGGCAATGGAGGGGAGGAGGGGAAGAACGAGGCGGGAGTCGTCATGCATCATCCATCGCTCTGATCTCGTTGGTTCGCTCGTATCAGGATGGGAGTCTAGCCCGATAGGGTTAGCCCTGGGTGATCTATCTCCCGTGACGATCACGTGGAGATAGCGCTACATACATGACTCAGCTGTGGATAAGGGTTCTTATCCATCAGTTATTCTTAGCATCATCTCCAATCCCATTTTCTATTCTCATTCTCCATTCTTTGATCGACGGTCAAAATGATGACGAGGTGCTCAATCAACACTCAAAGCTTGTCAGTCCAATGGTCCCACCCTTGCTGACATTCGTTGAACTCCTTCCCAAACCATCCTTAGGTGAAGACGGGGCACTGCTGAAATCTTCTAGGGTTAGTATTGGTCCGCGGCGACGATCCTGAAGGCTTTGGCCCCATGGACAGGCCATGCAAGGCTGCAGTGCTAATACTATTTCGACCACCAGTTCTTCCTATCAGGATGCTAAGTATCAAATAGTGCTGAACATCTGGTCCACGACTCAAGGTTTATTGATTCCGCTTCACGGCCACTCGAGAAAAGGCTGACGTGCTATTTTCATTCTTGGGCGGGGTCGCCTTCTTTGTTGTTGGGCGCCTACCAGCACCACCGTGGAGACAATGAACGCCGTGGGCGCTTGCAAAGAGAAGCATATTCGATAGAGATCGCCTACGGCGCTCCTCGATTGCTGCATCTCAACCCGCCAACCGATATCCCGTCGCATGCGTCTCGCGGTGTCAGAGCAGCCGCTTCGTATCTCGGGCGTTTATGTGACCTTTCTTGATTGGTCGTCACCGCTCTATACGACAAGTAGTAGACGAAACGCAGAGGATGGACTATGGAGTAGCTCTGGGATGATCACGTCCCGGTTGCTGCGCCTCGTTGGCCGTTAGTCTTTTTTTTTTTTTCCTCATTCAATTATCATTCTATTTTTTTTTCTCCCTTCCTTTATTTGTAGATTAGGCCAGCCATTCATTTCATCGCTCGTTTTTCATCCTTTGTTGTCGGATAGCCTTGCAGACAAAGATGTCGCCAACAATTTTGATCTTGGTGCCCACCCTCTGTTTCACATAATCTTGCTTCGAGTACTTGCCACTGTAAGTGTCGCATTTTGCGATTTGAGGCTCTATAGTCTAGTTGGTCTGGGGTTCTTGTCTAACCCTCGAACCAGCGAGACGGGATCGTCATCGAATATACCCACCCTACAACAGGCGAAGCGCTCCAGTATACCTCGAAAAACGAACGACTTCACTCCCGCAGAGAACTATCGTTCGGCCGGCGACATATGCACATAAACATGGCGCCCGATGATATAGATATAGCGACTGCAATGACCGACGGAGACAGTACCGAGTTTTCCTGGACAGGAAGCGATGACTTTGGTCCTGATAAGAACGAACCCGGAGTCAAGTCCACTTCGACAGACACAGACACAGGCACACGCACGGGCACAGAAAAGACCTCCGATGGGACGTTACCAAATACTGCTCCTGGACTGCAGCCGACGGAGCACAAAACAGACGGATCCCAACTCACCACACAATCAAACCCAACTGGTCAATCACAGCCGACGACATCAGACCTAAATACGACATCCACCTCGAAATATGAAGCCAATACCAACGACCGTTACCCTCACCCGACGACTGGCACTTCACCGGGAGATGAGGAACCACATAACTCTCACCCAAAATCCATCACTACTACGACGCAGTCGTCCGCAACCACGACAGAAAACCCGATACCAGCAGAACATACTCTGTCTAAACCTTCAGCCAAAACCACAACCACCACATTCGATCACCCCAAAAAGACATCTGCCAGCAAAGACAGCAGCAACAGCGTAGAAGGAAAAGGAGAAGGGGGAGGGGGAGGAGGGGGATTGCCGACCAAAACCAAAGTCGCCATCGCCGTCCCCGTCTCCATCGTCGGCGCCCTCATAATCGCAGCCCTAATCTACTTCTTCCTCCGCCGTCGCAACCGCCAAAAACGAAACAAGGCCGCCCCCTCTACAGACAATCTCGTCATGAGCACGGCTGCCTCTACACCAGCGCATACCCAGCCTTACCCACCACCCTTCCAGTCCCCGCAACCGCACTCCCCCGCGCCATTCGCGGCAGTACCAGCAGAGCCATCACCCCGCCACTTAAACCCGAATATCAATATCGAACCACCCGCAGCGGTAGCTACGAAGGGAGACCGCGACCCCGTCCGACCCACCAGCCAGCTCCTCCCCACAGATCACTCAGCCATCCTTGTCGCCGGCGCGGGCCAACAGCAACAACAGCAACAGCAACAACAACCAGTACAACACCCACACTCACCCTACCACTCCACCGGAGACCCCATCCAAGAGCGGAACCTCTGGAGCAACGAAGCAGCAGCGGGGACAAGACCGCGATCTCCCTTCGACCATCCCATGGACGACCAATTGTCTGTGATGTCGGCGATGAGCGATCGACGCGCACACCCGCATGATCGCGATGACGCCTCGTCTGTGTCATCTGTTAGTGATGATGAGGGTGAGAGGGAGAGGGTGAGAGGGAGAGGGTGAGGCCGCGTTGATGCTGATGTGCTGACGTTCAGTGTTGTTTGTGTTGTTGTGTGCGGTGGGGTTAGATCATGGACGCTTGTATATTTGTGTGTTGTTTAGGACGTGATGATAATGAGATTTAGTATATATAGAAGAGACCCTTCCAGTTTTCCCGTGTGCCGGTGTTCAGGGCACTCCAGTTGAAGCCTTCTGGGGTCCACTTATCAACGACGGCCACCGCACAGGTTGAAAAGCAAGGACAAGAATGGGAAACAGAGGCTTTCCGTAAAGACTGAATTGGACCATTCTGGCAAGCGTGGTTGAAGTTGCGATTCACAAGAGATCCAGCTGTGATTGTATATATATAGTTATATGTTTTTTTTTCTTTCGCTCAGGGGGGATGTCCAATTTATGCCTCGAGACTGGGTTAACTTAGACGGCGACTCCGATTGCCCCAGAGCAGTCTTCCATAATTGCATTCTCAGATTAAACACAGGACTTAATCCTTGCTGCGGCAATTTTGCAATTTTCGATCGACCCATCTGAGATAGGCCCATATCACCTGCAGCCTGATGCAACGATCGTGCGGCGCAGCCGATTCGTTGTCACAGTAAACCATCGGGTCTAGAAGGTAAAGTCCCCATCGCATGCTCAGAGGCCAATAATGGCCCGGTATACCATGACGACGCGACACGGAGTTCTCCAACTCCTGTAGATAAAAGGTGGGCGTGTAGGGAGAAGACCCCGATATACGCGGCGATATCACACGCACCAGAGCTGTGTGATCGACGATCAGCGAACGTGCGCCGCAGGCACAACCCCGTTTGAATGCAGACCAAGAGGTCTTCTGACATGCAGGAGTTGAAATGCCATGGGGCACGTGTCGTCATATCCTATGGCTTCCACATCAAGCAGGAATCACGCACGTAGACTGTGATAGGCTAATAAACGCCAGGCTAGAGTCCCACGGGGAAACAAAACACCGATCTTTGCAACCTTGTCTGAGAACTCATCGACACCTTCAGACCTTGTTCTTCAATCTCGTGACCACAAACAGCAGCAGCAGCATCATGCTTGATCGCGAGAAACCGGGAACCAAGATATTCGCCGAGGCCACGCCTTTACTGCAGAAGGCGGCACCGATCGTGCCTGCGCAGGAGTGCCAGCAACATATACAGCTGCTCCGATGTTTCCTGGACTTGAAGCAGACGGTCTTGAAGACCGAGGGCCTGTTCAAGACCGAGTATGTTCATAAAAACAAAAACGAACTAGACCCGATAGCTCGGCAGTCCGCGGCGGAGGAAAGTCGATGGTCAATCTATGTCTCGCGGGCTATCCATCGATTTTCTGTTTGGTGGACTCGTTTATCAGTGACTGGCACTCCAGGGCCCGGTTCGAATCAGGTATTAGAAAAGCCATACGGGCCGCATGGCGGATGGACATGGACAGGGGATCAGATGCCTCCATTAGGTATGTATTCTTGACGCGAGTCCAGGCTCTCCGACTAACTCGGATGGGACAGATGTTTTGATGGTCCTCCATGCACTGACACTGCATACTAAAGCCTTCGGAGAGGATTGTTTTCGTCATCAAAAGATGGCACTATGGAACGGAGGATTTCCCCTCCAGCTGGCCTCACAATATATAGACCCGGATAGCTTTAAATATTCATGTCCCGAGCCCTGCCGGCTGCAGTTCGAAAATATGACAAAGCTGGCATGGGACAATGTTAACGACCCTGAAAACATTCCTATCGAATGCTTCCGGTGTCAGAAACAGACCGCTGTGCCGTGGACGACGCGGCGCGGCAAAGGACTAGCAGATGATGGGTTCTTACAGGTGTGCCAATGGTGCAGTTTCATTCTACGAAAAGACGCTCTTCTCGCTCAGAAGCTCCGCCGGGATTTACATCTACTCCTGGAGACAAACATCCCGTTGCCCGGGGCCTGCTGGAGTGTCGACGACGGTTTGGCTCCCAATGAAACGACAGACGAGTCTCTAAAACAGTCTCTAGTGGACCTGCTACTAGAGGAAACACGCCCGACGAATCTATTCCCAAATATAACCCAAACAATCCAGGCCAGCACCGAGGCAGTTGGGAGTCAGACTCTACCCCTGCTTCATAATATCTTCGAGCACTACCGATATGTTGGAAACTCTTCCTGTGATCTGCACACATCTGTAATGAGAGTGTCCAAGTCAGCATCAACACTGCAGAGTGCGGATTTTCTCGACTTTGATTCACGGTCATCGCAGATCGAGAGCCTATACACTAAATTCCTGCGAGAGCAAAGCAAGGGGTCGTCACGGCGTTCTGGTCCCCAAACAGATATCATGGATCCCCTCAGCTTGTTCTGGGGCACGCATTTGCTAAGGCCGCGTTCATACTGTGACTTTTCCCGGCACTTTGGCAACAGCGTGCCAGTGGACTGGGGCCTGCCACATGAATCCGAGACTTGCAGCTTGTGCCAGACGCTGTGTCCGCCTTCGTTCGCCCGTCGATTCATCCGAGGGCTTACTTCGCTATCAGAATGGAAGGAGTGGCTATCCACCGTATAGGAACTCCCTCATCATCCCTGGACTCTGTCGTTCCGATATCTCAGGTCGGCGGATGAAATCGATTGCCTGAAGCCGCTTATCCTCTGCGACAATGTCGCTCAGCGCTCACTGCTTCAACTGTCTCTTTCTCGTCCGCTTTTCCCCTCCATAAGTTATCTTGTACTACTGTGTTTCTAGAGTGCACCGGCGATGCGTTCAAGAAATTGCAAGCAATCGTGTGTGGAGCACTAGCCATCGTTATCCCAGTACCGCCCATGCGCAACAGCCCAGCCAGTAGTCCCTGTAAATAGCGAACGAGTGGAGCTGGGCTAGCGAAGCAGGTCGGGCGGAGAATCTACTGTTTCCATTTTCGGTCTTCTTAGCATTCAAGCAAAAACCAGACCGTGCCGGAACGCTCAGGGATGGGATTGTGGTATTCGGATCTCGTATGTGGGGAGGCGTTGGTGGCTTCGTCCTGACCGTGACGACCAGGATCCTGCTGAATTGAAGTTCCACATGAGCTGCGCAGCCTTCGCATGATCGATGCAGGACGTGCTTCCCTCGCCCGTGTGCACGCACGCCATGAGCTTAATCCAACACCGCTTAGAGCCTGTTAGACAGCGGAGCTGGAGGGCGGGACGAACTTGCTTTTGCTTATCCATGCCGGTAGAGAGCATTCAGAAGAAGAATCACTCAATTGTTATTGCACGGAAGAATAATACTCGCCCGAGCCCAGCCACTGTCGTGCTAAGCTTTAATAATGCTACGCGCCCTCTGATCCACAAGAACTGACTCGCAATGCCTTAGATAGTGTCTTATTATATATTTGTTATTCTATAAGAGAAGTGACGAGCAAAAGTAGACTACATGTATAGAGATAATCATGAAGTTCCCGCTAGTGATGCGTTTTAATAAGACTAGCTTACTTAGTGTACTCAGCCCTTGCTCAATGATTGTCTCAGGCTGCTTAGAGCATGGTCAGGGCGTGTTTAGATCTACTCAGTGAGCAAAAAGCAGCGAGGGGTGAGCACGAAAACAGAAAGAGAAAGCCTGCGAGCTGTCGAGAAAATCAAGTACGTATGTATATCGACCTAGGTGTCTACTGACTGTACGTTTGTCCCGTTTGGGTTTATGATGCTCGCCTGGAAGCGACTTGCTGTTTCTATAGCCTTGCCTTGGTACTTTATGCGAAGTGTAGAAGGTATTGTAAGTGGTGGATGGATCCGGATTAGAAGCTGGCACCTGCACTGATATGGGGCTGGCTAGGTGACCCTACTTTTTGTTTGGAGTATTTACGAGTGTCACATACTATATGCAACCTTTGTTTTTTAAATCAACCGTATATATCAAAGTTCAAATAGTTTCATATATCTACAGAGCTTTCTTTATTTTAACTGGTGGGTTCACCGCACCAAATAATTTGCATACATATATACCACCACAGGGTAGTAGAGTAGAGCCTACCGCCCACTTCCAAAATCCGGCCGATAAGCCTTAACCTTGCCCCTCGTCAGCTCTCTCAGCGCCATCGTGGCATACTGGCTAGACCCCAGCTGAAACTTGAGCACAACAGCAAGCTTGTCCTCCTTGGCTTCTTCCGCGCCGCCTTCAGCGGGAGCACCGCCCTCGGCACCAGCAGACTGGAGTCTCTCCAGATCAGTCTGCACAAACTGCGTCTCGTCGCGCGCGTAAGGCTTGACCTCAACCGAGTAATCCGGCCCCATACGGCTCAGCAACTTGCGGTAGCTCCCGCTCAGACTGACTTCCTTCCACTTGCGGCGCATGTCGAAGGGATCGAGGCCGCCGCCTTGCTCACTGCCCATGAAGCGCTTGTAGAAGTCTGTCATCTGGTTGGGTGGGTACACGACGTCGTAGCCCGGGAGGGTCAGCACCACGTCGAAGATGTTGTACTTGCCGCTGGCGGCCTCGGCGGCGGTTAGCGCGCGCGCCCGCGTGAACATGTCGTCTGCGGCGCAGGCGCTGTCGTCCGCTTGGGGCGCGATGATCACTTCGCCGTCGGCGTCTACGGCGGGTGTTGCTGCGATGATGGTTTCTTCTTCTTTGTCGCGGTGTTCGTTGACGAGGACGAGGTCGCCTTCGACGACTTTGTCGCCGTAGAGGCGCCAGCGCTCGCCGACGGCGAAGTTCCAGACGAGGGATTGGTATGCGTGCACGTACATCATGCGTAGGTTGCGAGGGATGGTTTGCAGGGCGCCGAGGTGGTCGGTTTTGCTGCGCGAGAGGTGCCGCATGAGGTTTGCTTCGGCGTAGAATTTACGCGGGAGCTTTTCCATCGCTTCGGCGCTGCGGCCGGTGGACTCGAAGAGGTAGAGCGCTACGGCGCGGTCCCTGTCGTCTGAGCTGACTGTTGTGTTGTCCGAGCCGGATTGAGCCGCGGCGAGGATGTGCGGGCTGTAGTGGAGGATGGCGTCGCAGGCGCCCTTGAAGTCTCCCTGCAGCATCTTCAGGCCGACGGAGTCGGTTCGCGTCGCGAACGTGCCGAACCGCTGGAGACCGTAGTAGTTGAAGTAGCCGCGTTCGCGGAGGTTCCGCAGCGCAGTTCCGACAAGTTCCGTGGCGGTTGAGACGGCGGTCTCGGAATCCTGGGGGTTGACACCGGGAATTTCGCATTCGCGCAGGGTCACAACGAACTCGTTGCCCCAGAGATCTCCCAGATCCAGGCCGTGTTTGCGGTATTCGAAGTCGCCCACTTTGGCGTTGCGGAGGACCTGGTTCATCCTGGCAAGGCGATCGGCTTGCAGGCGGACAACGCAAGCCCTCTGCGCCGTCACCCCGCGCCGGTCCTTGGTACCCGCAAACTGGAAGTTCTTGGGGTTCATCTTCAATTGGCGTGCAATGAAGGAGAGCACCTCCATTGTGTCTTTGTTCTCCTTGTAGATGGTGAAATGCAGATAAGGACCGCCGAGTTCGTCCCAGTTGATCCGGCCCCGCTGGGTATGCTTGTCGCCCTCGCCCTTGGGTCCACGGCTGGCCTTGTTGCGGTTGGGAGCGGCGGAGATGGTCATCAAGCCATCATGATCGGTGGACGACTCGAGCTGGGAGTTGAAAATGCGGCGAATTGCTTGATGCATTTTGATGCGCACGTCGCGGTCATCAACGACGCAAGTTGGGATTCGTCCGAGTTCGCTGGGCCGGGCCCTGAGTTTGGCCAACGCACGCTTGTGAAGCGAGATGATCTTCTCTGTGGAGTCGGCACCAAAAAGCGACTCCAAGAGTGCCAGGTCTTCGTCTGCAATGTGGAACTCAATGACGGGTGTGCTCTCCGATGCGGGGGTATCATTCCCAGCGGAGACATCATTTCCAGCGGCAGACTCGGGTTCCTCCGGCTTCTTAACCTCTTCCGGCTTTGTTTCCCCCTCAGCTGTTTTGTTCGTCGGTTGGGCAGTGTCGCTAGTCGGCTTCGCACGAGGTTGAGGCACGGGCGCGTCCCGCAGATGGCAAACCTCGCCCGACGGCAGGATCTCGTTGACAAGGAAATCGGTATATCTAGAACCGTCAATTCAAGCCTCTCATCCATCGAGTGGTACCACCAACCTTTTCTTCAAGACACCTGCGAAACCTTGGTTCTCCGAGCTGACGAAAGCCGTGATCCCGACCTCCATCTCCTTCGCTGCCTGGGCATCTTCGTCGGATTTGGCCGCGGCGGGCTGAGCGTCGGACGGGGGAATCACCGACTCATTGGTCGCGGTGGCATTGTCCGTCTTGATGCGCTTACGCGGCGATTCGACAATATCGACACCTTCCATTGCGATAATATGGTGGAGAGGAGAGAAAGGGTGAATTGATGTTGCGGAGTAGCAGAAGCTTCCTGCGGGAAATGGAGATGGAGCCTGCGCTGGGTCCCGCAAGGACGTGTCCCAAAGGAGTTAGCGCAGGGCTAGCCCTATTACCAGATCGGTCGATGTACTATATCTCTCTCTACAGTACGGAGTATATTTGTTTGATCTATCTTCGTCAAGGGTAGGGGATATCATCGAATGCATTATGCAGAAAAGAAAGAAAGAAAGAAAACTGGCTCTACGTTCTATCCGCAATCTTAAACGAAATACACTCGACACGAGTACAAGACACCATACTGCTTTGTTTCTTAGTGACATCGATCCCATCACAATCATGCATTGTTCCAAGACAAAACATGATACAGACATAAACAAACTACAGTCATCTATACTTTATTATTGAGATACTTGGGAGCTCAAGGAACACAATTGTTGCATACCAAACGATGTCAAAGGCTCCCATCCAGCACAATGTCAATAGCTCTTGTATGAAGTTCTCGAAGCCAACACAAAGGAATATCTCTGGACAAAGAGATCATCAGCTTGCTCATTGCGTCTACAATGACATTAACAACGATATCGAATGCTTGAGCGCAAATCTACATATACCTGTAGGTAGATCCGCAAGACTATATAAACTCGCCCTTCCCAGATCATCGGATCTCGTCTCTCATCATCATCATCATCACCATAGCAAACACTTCATCTACCATTTGCTCCCAGAATCCCAGTCTCTTACCCCAAAAACAGAAGAAGAAGAAGAAGAAGAAGAAGAAGAAAAAGCTGAGTACCCATCACAATGACCACCGTCTCACCCAACACTCCCATCGACCCCGCTACCTTGAATAAACTAATGCTCATCCAAGAAGGCTTTTCCTTCCTAGATGCCCAAGGCAACTTGGCTTCCGACCTCTCCGCAATGACCGACACGATCATCCTCCAGGTCGACGTCCCAGCTATCGACGCCGTCACCGAGCCCACAATGTACTATGTCGCCCGCGCCGTACACGAGGAGTTCCTCCACCGCAACACCACCAAGCGCTACGACAACCCAGTGAGCTCGCCCACCGAGAACGTCCGCCGCCTCGCCATCAAAATTAATCTGAAGAAGCAGCTGCATGTGCCGGATTACTCGCCTACTAAAGTCATTCATCTGGCAAGGAAGCAGTTCCTGCGGACGACCTGTCCGCGTGATGATGGCCTGTTCGACAAGATTCCCCTTTCTGTTTGTTTCAATGAGCATGCCGTGCAGGGAAGTGCATTTCCCTGTGGGTGTGACCTTGTTGAGATGGCAATTGTTATTCAGTGGGAGTAGCTTTTTTCTTTTCCTTTTTATTCTGCTTCGTCTTGTCTCTCTTTCTCTCTCTTTTCGTGTTTTGAGACTTGTTGGTTAAGTATGACTTCATTCGTTGTTGACAAATACCCCATAGTATGCTCAGAATACAAACGTAAATGCCGTACAGGCTATCAAAAAACTACCACCACTGCCTCCACATCTAGTAAGCCCATTAAATCTCCCCAACAGTCGTACTATCTACCAAGATACCAGATCATATCTTGACATCGACCTGTTACATAAAGTAAATAGACAGGCGATTAGCACAGCGTTGTCCCGTAATATCGTCTGTATGCACCCATTAAATAAGGACATGTTACCATTCAGTTGTATCTATCATCCACGGTTCAACTATCGTATATTGTGATAATCTGCCAATTTCAGCTAGCTGCCTTGCATAGCTTTCTCTCTTAGAGTGTTTTGTGGCTCCTTGTGTTTTCGCAGCTGTTGACGGCTTTCTTAGCGTTCTAAGAACCATCGGATTCATTGACGGTTTGACCGCTGTTATCGGTCCTTCCAGTATCTGTCCTTCTCAGTTCGTTATATATCGGATGCACGCTGAAGCGCAAGTTTCTATACATCTACCAGAATTGAAGTCTGGAAAAGGAAATATGGTATGGGTTGGTATACTAGAATAACAGGTGTGTTGCGAGCACCCTATAATGATAAACAGGCCATGTATCAAATCTACCGCTCCCCTCCATCAATCACCGGCATGTGCCACATCTCTATCTATTTTCTCGTAAACGTCACAGGGTTCGTAAAAGTCATCCATCTTTCAGCTGCGCCTGGCAGACTCCTCATCCAACGTCACACCATCATGATAGGACATCACGCAATACCGCACACGTATAGATGAGCGCACAAATCAAAATAAACACCGAAGTTGTTGTTAACTTCAAACCCAACACCTAAAATGCAATTGTAAGGATGAGATGGCGGATTAGGCGGCACTTCTGAGAGGCAACACGAAAGGCCTGAGCTGTGAACTGCATGCACCGCATCCCTCCCAGGTTTCCTTGATCGACTGAATCATTCCCCAGACCGAATGACGCGCCGTTTGCCGTTTGACCCCAGCACGTAAAAGGTCCTCGTATGGCGTGAGTGCATGACGGATGTGCGCCTCGACGGCCAATGTGGCTTTGTGGTGATCCGTTAGATTCGACGACCGGCCTACACGCCCGGAACCCTTGCGAAAAGCATGGTCGAGAATGATCTTCATGGATTCGTCCGGCATTAGTGGGAACTGCGAGCGCAGGAGTTGCTGGGAGTGGGCTAGATCTTTCTCGTCGCGAGCCATGGTTGCATTGGCGCGTGAATCGGCTGTCGCCGAGGCCAACTCGAGAACCGCGGCATGAACGTCTGCTGGGACGCGAATACCGAGCTTAATCTTGGCCGATCGATCCTGTCTCTGTTCAGGTCTTGCTAATGAGTCACTGGAGAGGGGCTACTCACCCAAACTAGATGGACTATCCGATGAGACTGCTTGGTTTTCGCACGACAGTTCCGAGTGATGTAGACGTCCCCCCTAGGGACGAAGACATAACCATCCGGGAACGAATCATGTTCAAAACAGTTCTACCCGGCCCTCCGTTAGCACCTACAGTATTTCACTCTATACCCCCCCGGGCTTGATAGCTCCCAAGATATCAATCATCCTAGGACAGAAACACTTACCACCTCGAACGGCTCAGAACAAGGCGGCAGCTTAGGAGGCCTGGCGTATTTCTGAGCCTGTGCGCGCCGATTGCTGGTGCCCCGCACGGGGCTCCTTTTGCTGATCCCGGCAACACCGACCAGACTACCGCCGCGACGGCGTCCTCTAGACAGACTATTCTTGCGCGTCTGGCCCAGATCGGATAGAATCGACCTGTTCGCAGACCGGTTTGCGGGGTGACTCTTTCCGCGGGTGTGCGGCTTCCTGGTGTGTTTTCTGCGCGGGGATCGCATCGTTGGAGTCATCGTGAAAAGTGGGTAGTAGTGGAAAGGACTGGGATGAGAGGAAGATGACGAAAGCATGAGAATGAATAAACAAGTGATCTATGTTAAATATGAAAAAGAAGTGTAGTGATCGTCAGACAAAGAGGCATATGTAGCTAATTGAACTGCTATGAAAGAGCGAGTGATTCATCTGCTTGGGCACAGATGCAGACCAACACAAAGATCATAGATCATGGAACAATTAGATATTGATACTTGTTGACAAAAGCGGAACAGCCATGCCTTGCTCTATTTAGGAAACCCTGATCAAAGAGGAAGGAACTAAACAAAGATAAGGACATGGAGACCCATGGAAAAGGAGAAGCGACCCGGTCTCTGCCCAAACCAACGATTTGATCATCGCCCAGTATGAACGCCCTCATTGACGGAGGGGCACCAGGCGGTGTAATTTAGTGCCTTGTATATAAGGCATAAATGTGTCTGTAGAGGACCGTCTGGGGGATCGATTCCTCCAACAGTGTCAACCGTTCAACCATCTGGTCATGTTTATGACCATTACCATCCCACAGTTTGGCGTGTTGGTCAGGTTTGCACTGAGTGACAATATTAGGCAAATATAGTCGCAAGTGGTACAAGAATTTAACATCGCATCTCAAAATGACAAGTCACTTCGAGGGGACTCAACGATCGGGATGGTACATGATCGAGAATCACCCGGGAGACTCTCGCCGATGATTCCCGTCAATTTCAGTTTGATGGTCGACGAGTGCTACCAGGTGGACTTAGCCCACTCCCGACTTCATTGTCCAGAGCGTACGGTCTCGGATCCGAGAGCCGATACCGAGACAACCTATGCGTCGAACGAGACAGCCTTCGGGCGGTGTCAGCCAGATGTCGTCTTGCATGTTACACATTCGCTACGGATGTGTCTGGTAGGTATTCAGTGGCCATGGAAGGACCACAAATCGACCCTCTCCCTGAGTCAGACCTTAAAGGATTTGGATCTCCAGGGATATAGGGCAAGACATGGGCATATATGCCTTGATAGGGATAAGATCAGATTGAACAAAGGTTCCGATCAAATATGGACCAGGCTTGAACACCCCCCCGTCATCACCGACTTACCGACCAGCAATACTATCTCTATATGCTATCAATACATGCAGCGATCTAAACTCAGTTCCAGATTCGACCATACCTACCAACGTGCATTTGCATTTACCACCGATCTGGCGTTCCCAAGGCGGGGTGGAAAGTGGTTGCTAGAGCTAAAGAGCCCAGTCCAGCACAGGCGGTCAACTCCCCTTGCCGATGTCTTCAACTTAAAAGCCACGCAAATAGAAGCTGGGGGGAAGAGGGAGACAGGGAGAGCGATAATTGGGCCCTTGGCTGCAGGGCGGCTGCGAGACCATGTCAGGGGTTCAGGACATTATTAGCTCTCCTGTCCGCGGACGTGCATAGTGTACATATGTGCGGCGGCGTCACACGGCAGGGTGGGCTACCTAGTCTGCTGCAGGTCCCATGGCTGCGTCTGCATGGCTGACGAGAAGGTTACGGGGGTTTAGTCATGGGGGGGGAGGGATTCTGTCTAGGGGGTTGTTTAATAGGGTGTTATTATTAGGGGTGCTTATAGTACTGTAGGGGTGGTGGTGAAGGGCCTGGGGCCATTAGGCGCCCTGCTCAATATGGGGAATACGAGCGTAGCAATAGCGACCGGGGAAAGACGCCCGTAATTAGAAGCCCGGCTTAGATTGTATCTCCACCATGCCGTTCCCTCATAAATAGCAAATAAGCCTTAGACACTCATCTAAGTAAGCGGAATTGCGCGAGGCTCCATTTCACGGTGGAATTCGAAACTTTATCGCATTATGAAATACCCAGCCAATCAAGCATGTTACAGGCAAGTCCTTCCGGAGAGAGTATAGACAGGAGACGATAGTCTAGACTTCCAAGCTGGTTTCTCATCCGATCGTTGCTTTGTGTTGCGTGGGCCAATGCCAATCCCCCGATGTTCTCAGATGGGTCCGTGGGAATGCCAACTAAGCTAACTAACTAGTAGGTAGGATGGGATCATCCATCACCAGGCTGTGAGCTCGAGGCAAGCGACAATGGAAAATGTTCCGCCCGTCACGTTGGGTTGGAGTGAGCCACGTAACTCAATTTGGTTAAGTCATAGTTCGTTATTTGTCAAAGATTCTCTCTCACAGTGTGGGTAGGCCGTCAGGGGGACACTATGGGGGTTTTGATTTCCAAATGATACACAACCAGGTCAATTCCTCCGCGCAGAGACGGGATGTCGTCATGTTGGGGCATTGGGTGGACTCTCCGTTGGTACTCCGTACTTATTATGGAGTATGGACTGTGGACTGGTGGGATGATCGATCGAGGCTGGAGCTGAAAGAGCCTGGTCCCCTTGGCGGGGAACTAAAGGCTTTAGCAGCTCCACCAGGTCATGTCCGCCTAAGGGACCGTGGCCAACGTAGGTAGGCAGGAAGGCAGCCTAAAGTGTAGGCACTGGTCTGGGTTAACACCTTCACCGTATTTATCATGTTTTGTCCGAGTACGGAGTACTCTGTATATTGGGATCGGTTGGTCGTTTCGGTGGAAGAGATTCCAATCAGCGTATCCTAGGTTTGTCGGTCCTGCCGTTCCGTTCAGATGTATCTGACTCGATTGATCCATGAGAAAGACCCGAGGTAGTCGATCTACCGATAGACGATCAGTCCAGTCCTTGTTTTCAGGGCCAATGATGACGCTGCGGCGGGAAAGGGATACAGAACATGCACCCGACGTAATTAAATCCGAGGGGGGGAAGGGGGGCAATTGATTCGTTTATACTCATGACCTTGGGAATTGGCTTCTTTATTGTGGTCATTCTTATCATTAGTTTTTTGCTTAGACGAGATGGAGTTCGCCGTAGTGACAAAGTCGATCTCCATTCAACTATCTAGCTACGGGACCCTGATGCCTGAGGCAGCAACGGATATCACAACAAATATGCTAAGACTAATTTCGTGGACAGACCCCCGGAAGCGCCGATGAGCAGGACAATGATGTTATCAGATTAGCCAGGTACGGAGTGAGACAGAAGCGATGTCGATAATGTAGGTGAAACGAAAGATAGGTGACATACCACGAGGGCTGTTTTGCGTCGACGGCGTCGTTCATAGTTAATACCTGAGCTTTCTACAAGCCTCTAAGAAGGCCCGTCTGCTCTTCATCACTCCTTCGTCACGGGCAACTCGATTTCCCATCCAAGCCCTGTAGATGAACCGGAACCAGGCCTTTTTCTTTGAGGCCATAGCCTCCACCTGGTTCTGAACCACCTCCCAGGACGTGGATGTCTCCGCCAGCGCAATTGTAAGGTACTGGAGGGGCTTGGGGAAATGCAGGCGGATTCCAATTGGAGTTGTGCAGATCTTTCGGTCCCGAAGCAATCTCCATGTCGGTGAGTACAACTGCCGGTTGCTGGACCGACGCTCCATCGAGACGAAGCAAATCTCCATGCCAAAGATGGAGGGGAACTCCAGCCCTATCTGCTCCCTTAGATAGTCTGCCTCATGCATCGCCCCTAGCCTGTACGCCGTGGTTTCCGTCAGGCTCTCCACCTTGTCATTCGAGTAGGTAGTGCCATTGAGGACGAATCGGAGACAGTTATGCAGCCCAATATTTGGAGCGGCTTCGTTCAAACCAGGCTTTGCGGCAAAGTACTCTTCTGCGAGATACTTTAGGCGTTTCAAACGCCTGCCGCCGGTCGTCGCCGGCTCCGACCCACTGGTCGAGGAAGGGGAGGGAGGGACCTGTCGTAGAGACAGCCATTTGTTCTTGTATGATGTCAGGGGCAAACCGATACGGGGCTGGTAGCTTGTCTCCCAGTCATCGTCTTCAGCGGAGAAGTAGATCTTTTGGATAATGCCCAGTGCTCCCATGCCCCTCACACAGTCATATACCGACTTTGAGAAAGCAATATAGGTGGGATGTTCTGTCCCCTCCTGGGCTTCCTCCTCAGCATCTACTAGACAACGTAGAACAGCAGAGGCAGCTAGGCTACCACTGGCGCGCCCAGCACTTCTGCTGACAGACCATGATGATGATTCATTCTCATCGCCCGCTGCTGTTATAGCCGTGGTGTTCAGCTGCTGTTGGTTAATGTCTGGGCGGACGAGCCAGCCACCGGAGTAGCACGATGTACTGAAGATAGTGGTAGGAGATTTTGGTTGCAGTAGACGACGGAGGTCTTTCATATGCAGGATAGAACCACCAACCTCTACCCCATGATCTGGGCTGCCATGCCCAAAAAACAGCAGGACTAGATGCTCTTCACAGCGGGCCGCTTCGGCCGCTTGCTCTTTGAGTGTGCTGAGGTATCTTTCAAGAAGATCCCGTCGTGGCACAACACGTATGTTCCCAGCCTCTAGGATGTTGGGGAGTCTCTCGCCATCTAGTACCGCCCGCCGGTCCCCTTCTGGGTCACCATGAAGGTATTCATGGTATTTTGCAACGAGGACCGACGGGTCTTCGCACGTCAACCATATTTGGTTAGGCGCTAGTTGTTAGATCAGCAGAGCAGGGACAAGACAAGACGGACGAGGAGACACGCACGTCGTGGAAATTGGGGGGATAGGAGATGGTGGAACAGGTAGAAGTCTGACGCAAACCACCCGTCCTCACTAGGGCTGGCTAGATCGCCTTCGTCTGTTATGCCCAGGAGGGCTAATATGCGATGGCGGGGGGGAAGGTCGGGGGGGCAATGTGTCAGGAACTCGCGCCCAGCAAGATCTTGCTGAGTCCCGCTCCGGCGTCCCATCGTGAAGAACTCGGGGAAAGCATCTGGACGGATGGTGGTTGGTGAGTCCATGGCGGCCATTGTATCGAGTATCGACTGCAGTGGATGAGTGATGGAAACAAATAAATACGTTAGACTATTGCAAGGGTTTGCCGACGTTGACCAGCATTTGGTATAGAGCTCAACCTGATGTGAGGAAAGAACTACGTCGTGACCCTACCATATGACCTCCTACTACATCATAATGAACATCTCAATTCCACGTAGTTGAGTATACCTAAGTATATATGAGTCAATCTGATTATCTACTGGTCAATTGTTCCGGGGAGTACATTCTCAAGGTCCATTTGTATCCTGTTGATACTAGCCTTACTCCCATCCTGTCATTTATTCCTATTCCTGTGGATCTGCGGAGTAAACAATCAGTAATAAAAAAGCCCCATCCAGGAAAAATAAAATCGAATCAAATAAGAAGAAAGAGAGGGAAAATAAAAATTGAAATAACCCAAAAAGTAAAAAGGGAAAAAAAAAAAAAAAAAGTGACGAAATTACAAACAGAGAAAAAGGAAAACACAAAAAATCCTCTTCATCGTAACGACAGCCTGAGGATTCCAATCATTACTTCTTTCTCTTCTGCTTCTTCTTCTTCTTCTTCTTCTCTTCACTCTCATCTACCAATTCTTCTCCATTCAAGGTACTGCTTCCTTCTCTCCTCGTTTCTCATTTTAAAGGATATAACTAAGGACAAACTCCCTCTAGGCACTAATCACATTCCTCCGCTTTTTTAACTCTCCTCCCTTTGTACCTTCAGGAGAGCTCCGATCCGGTGCCTACCATCCTACCTACCTACCTAGGTACCTGCCTACAGCCTACCTGCCTACCCTGCCAACAACTAAAGTCGACTCCTCCAATCCATTCGTTCATCCCATTTCAATCCCTCGGATCGTATCCTGTCTTCCTTCTCTCCTCCATCCGCCATCTCGGGCTTATTTGTCCGTCAATCTCGCTCTTTTTTTTTTCTTACCACTTCAACTCCGGACTATGTTTTAAAGCAAACAGACGACTCTTCTCCGCTTTCCTTCTTTCCTTTCCCCCCTTTCCTTCTTTTTGCTTGGAAAACGACCGAAAGAAAAAATAAAATAAAAATAAAACAAAAAAAAAAAAAAGAAAAGAAGAAGAAATTATATCTCCCGTGTATCGTCCCGATTCTCTTTCCAGGACCTTTGTTCCCTGCGGAGACGTTCCAGATTCGTCAAACAAAGCCGTCCACAAACTTGGCTTTGGTTCAATGGTCCTGTGGAGGTCTACATTCGTCGGCTCTTTGATCCCTCCTCAAACCCCCTCTCCTTGAGCATTCCAGACCACTCCTCAAGTATCTGGACTCCGCCCGCCAGAGAGGGTTGCCTGGCAGCTTGCTCCCATCGGTTGCTGGGATCACCGTTGCTGACATGAGTTGGGATCAGCCCGTCCACAGGTATGTTCCGCTCTTAATTTACGTACTCCCTGGCATTCTTGCTCGGCGGCGGGGTCTCTTTTGGTTGCAACGGCTGTTCCTTGCCAGCGGCGCCTTGTCCGACTTCGTCCTCCTCTAAACTTGTTTCTTTCATCCCTCCCTTTGTTTTGTTGAATCCTGTTGCATATACACCAGACGATTCTTCCAGTTTTCTTGACGGAGCTCCCTCCGAGCTCCGTTCCGGTGATCAATGTTCGAAACGATGATGCTGACCGAGCCCGCCTTCACTTGCAGCTTCAGCTATCCGAACGGTGAACCTCAAACCCCCACCAGGACTCCTCCGGTCTTTGGCGACACGGCGTTCCAGACCCCCAAACTTGAGTCCAGCTTTTTTGACCCCCGGGTCACCTGGGACACCTCCGATCCGTATGCCTCGAGCCCGGAGTTCCTCCGCACCCCTCACAAATTCGCCCTGAGTACTCCTTCACTCAACCACCCGCGGTTGCCCGAGACGGGCGCAGATCGGTCGGGCGGCCACAGTGTAAAGGCATTGGAGCACCAGACCGATACGGCCAGACGCGTGCGCCCTGCAAGTCCCCGGGGCCATCCGGAGGAAGATGCTCCCCAGACCGTGGCGTCTGCCAGATCTGCAGCCTCGATGCAGACTCCTCCGCCCAGCAGCGCTTCGAAGAGAAAGGTGACGGGGCTGGGGAACGTGGGAAATACAAACCGACGCCCGTCCGCCTCCAGCGTGGTGGATGGGAGCCATCTAGAGACTCCTAGCCGCTTGATGGGGGCCTCTCCCCGCCTGTTTGGCGATCTCCAGGCGTCCTCGGATCCCTTCCATCTCGGGACCGTGGACCCCTCAGCCTCTCCTTTCTACCCCCAGCAACGGCTGTTCTGGGACCATGATTTCGAGCAGCCAGGAAGCCATTTCGGGTTCCCCGACCACCACTCCAGCGTTTTCGATGCCCACCCCGTGGGCACGTTGCCAGTCACCGCCCATGCCATGCACGACTCTCACATCCCACAGTTGCCCGATATCGGGACGACCATGGAGCTGCCCGATTTCCAAGGCGGCCTCTATGGAATCTCGTCCGCCCCGGCGACCGATGCGGCACTCTTCCCGGCACCCTTCTCGACCTCGCCTCGAGCCCCGGTGACCAAAGCGGAGGACCCAGCTATGTTCCTGAGCTCTCCTGCCCGGCGGTTTGGGGGCCCCCAGCCCACTCCCGAAAAGCGACTCTTTTCCCGACCTCCCATCCGTCAACCGTACCACCACCAAACCGAGGAGTCGAAACGAGAGGAGCTTCGTCGCGTTCAGAACGCCCACCATAGTCTGCTGGGGTTTGACGAGGAGGACGAGGAGGATTACACCCCTCGACAGCCTCAGCCCATTCGCCCAGGGCTCACTCGCAGCCTCACGCTCACGGCGGCCACGTCTCGGCGCCCGCTGTCCAGTGGCATGATGGCCTCGACCAACGGTATCCGCAAGAGCCCGTCCAAGAAGGGCCGGTCTTCTCCAATCAAGCCTGCAGGCCAGCCATTATCCAGGGCCAGCTCGACTGCCAGTGTTCCCACCCGCTCAAAGTCGGTCGTCCTCCGGATCGGCAGAGATGGCCGAGCGAAGACGGAGATGCAAACCGTGCCTGAGTCGTCGACCGGGTTGACGGACCCAGTCACGGGTATGGACTTGGATGGCTCAACGACCGAGAGCGAGTATGATTCGGCGGAGTATCTCGACCATTCGCTCTTTCCCAGCCGCAATCCTTCCTTTGCCTTCTCTGACGCCGGTAGATCCGTGCTCGCCCACAGTGACTGCGGGTCCCGGCCTCACTCCAAGGGGTCCTACACATCTGCAGCGTCCTCCCAATCGGGACGGGTCTCTCCGTGGTCGAATTCGCGGGGACTGGCTAGACGGCCGACGTACCACTCCACTATAGAGGATTGGAAGAGGACAACGCCCAAGAGACAGGTGGTCAACTCGGACCTCTCCTACCGCAGTGCCAGCTCCGCCGTAATGCCTCTGCCCGAATCGGAGGAGGATGACGGGGACGCGCAGCATGCGCTTCGCAAGGTGGTGCGGCAGCGACGACAAGTGTCCCGTCCACACACCGTCGGCTATGGGCCACGCACCCGGGCCCCCCCTTCGCTGGCACATCTGCGTTCCTCGCCCCCGCGATTCGGGGCGGAACTGGACCTCAACGCCTGTCCTCCCAACGCCTCCTCCCCAACCACAATGACCGACCCCGACCTGGCCACACCAACCACCGACCGCTTTAGCAACCCCAGCAGTGGAACCCGATGCATTTGTAATTCCATGGACAACGGCGGCCACCTCATGATCCAGTGGTAAGTTTGATGACCAATAGTTTCAAGGACGCTCTACTCACTCGACCAGCGAATCATGCAGTCATTGGCTCCACACCAAATGCGTCGGACTCGAGCGGTCGAACCTCCCGTCCTCCTACGTCTGTGTGTTTTGCGCGCAGACTCCTACACGCCGGAATCGCATCCGCGTACCCGTTGGTCCGGTTGGCCATGCGCCTACCTCGCCATTGGCTCACAAATCCTTTCGATTCCGATGATTCATGACTGCGTCCAGTATTTCTTGCGTGTACCATTTACGGATAGATGACTCGATCCGGCCTGTCTTAATATAAGACACGGGCACTTTCACTCTCTTCCACTGGGTTTCCTCTGTGTTTCCTTTGCATTTGAAACAAAATTTAGAAATACCCCTACCTTTTCTTGTTGTACGGTGTTTGGTACTGTCAGAGTTTATTATCTTGTTAATTGAATCGAGCGACACCGTTATGTATCTAGTGTATCTATACGGATATCAGTTTTACTAGATTTGTAAACAGCAATCAGTACGCCTACCTACCTAGTATGTGATCATTGACACGAGCAATATAAGAGAAAAATAAGTCGGGGAATATTCGTAGGCGGTGAACGGAGACCCACATTACGGGCAATGAGTAACTCCGATTGGATTAGGGGTTGAGCTTATCGCGTCACCGCCTCCGATAAGATAAGATATCCAATAGCTATTTAACCGTATTAACCGCGGTCTATCTATCTATGTACGGAGAATATATATTCGACATACAGTACTGCTATACACGGAGGACCCTTAATATATTCATCGGCTTGTCACAACCTGGCTTTATTAGTACCTATCCCTGATACTGTACATCTATGGTTTATTCTAATGGATCTTTCTACCTACTCCAAAGATTATATACATATATATAAACTATACACAATGACATATACAACAGTAACCAAACATACAACACTACATACTGTAACTAGATCTAGATTGAATTATAGATCTCCAGATCCAGATAGTCCAGACGTAAACACCGGCGGCCGTCTCCTTTGAACAATCCCCTCAAACACTTCTGCTATATCTAACAATTCATCGTCTTGCCATGGAATGCCCATTAGTTCGAGGCCGACTGGTATACCGAGTGATTGTGATTGGGGAGTTGGTTCTGCGGGTTGAGCGAAGCCGGCTATTCCTCATATATACTAGTTAGTTACTGTATCATGTATAATCGTTTAGAAGCAAGAACGGGAGGGAAAGAAAGAAGGGTGAATACCAGGAATACAAACAGCCGGCCTCCCCGTCAACGCCGCCAGAATCCCATTCCGTCCGCTCTGCACGACCTCGCCCACAGGAACGACCAGTCTTTTCTGATGCGGGTAGACCATTGCGTCTAGCCTCTCCTCTTCGAAGCACGTTTGCACGGATTCCTTTAACGCCTTTATTCGCTGCAGGCGCGCCTGGTACGCCTCGCACCGCGTGTTGAATTGGTCGGTTTGTAGCGTCTCGTGGAATGCGGCTGTTACTGCTGTGGCATGATACTCGTTTGAGGAGGCGATAGACGCGAGTGATTTGTGCGGGGTGTGTTTGATGAAGGGGGATTGCAGGAATGAGTCGAGTTCTTCTTGAAATTCGAAGGATTGGGTGTCTGCTTCGGTGCGGAGGAGTGGTGCGTCCCAGGTTGGTTGGGGGGGGAGGGGGATGAAGTTGATGGGTCGGGGAGTGAGCGAGTTCTTGGAGGAGGATTGGACGTTTTGGAGGGCGGTTTGGATTATGGTGTTGATTGTGTGGGTTTCGGGGTTGGAGGAGTCCGGGTCGGGGAAGTAGGTTGTTAGGATGCCGATGCGGAGGGGTTTGTCTTTTTCTTTAGGAGTAATGTTGGGGGTGCTGTTGGTAGTGGAAGGAGGAGGAGTAGCATCAGTAGTGGTGCTAGAAGTAGTGACAGCAGCAGCGGCTGCAGTAGAAAGATCAGCAGAAGAAGCACCGCTCTGCTCCCCCAGCCATATACTCTCCTTCATAACCCCCCACAAAACCCTAACATCACCCACCCCCCTCCCCATCGGCCCCAACGCATCCTGCGTCCTCGAAACACCCATCACCCCCCTCGTACACACCCTCCCGGTCGTCGGGCGGAACCCCACAACCGCACACGCCGACGCCGGCGACCTCAGCGAGTTCATCGTATCGCCACCACAGCCCACGAGCCCCATATTAGCGGCTAGGGCTGCGGCGGTCCCGCCTGATGAGCCGCCGGGGGTGCGTGTTAGGTCGTAGGGGTTGAGGGTTTGCCCGCCGTGGGAGGAGGTGGTTGTTCCTTCGAGGGAGAACTCGTGGAGGTTGGTTTTGGCGAGGAGGATGGCGCCGGAGGCGAGGAGGGATTGCACGATGGGGGCGTTGGTGTGGGTGTGGAGGGTGCGCAGGGCGTGGACGCCGGAGGTTGTTGGGAGGTGGGTGGTTGTGTAGGTGTCTTTTAGGAGGAGGGGGACGCCGTGGAGGGGGGGTAGATTTTTCTTCTTGGGGGTTGGTTCGTTTGAGTCGGCTTCATTTGGGGTGGGGTTATTGCTGCTGGTGTTGTCATGGAGGAATTGAAGACGCTCGATATCCTTCTGCCGTGCCTCATCCAGCGCATTCTCATTGATTGTGATGATCGCGCGAAGAGTAGGATTATACCTATCTATCTGAGTTAGATAGGCAGAGACGGTCTGTTCACATGTTGTTGTGCCGTTTAGGAGCGCCGCGTGGTAAGCGGGGATAGTGAGTTCGTGGATGTGTGTATATTGCGAGTTGTCCGTATCCATCTTTATAATGAATGTTTTAGTTGGTTGGAGGGATGGTGGAGTTGTGTTCTTGTGCAGATGTGATTTATGTTCCTGGGAATTGAGCGCGTTGGAGACACTGGCTGGATCATGGTGTAGAGTTGGAGAAGTGGATAGTTGGAGACAGAGATGAACTGAGTGGGGGTAAACTGTTAGTGTCTGGTCTGTTCGGTGGAGTAGATATGATTAAACTGTCGAGTGTACTATACGTCAATGCACTAACAACACTTCAATTCGTGCATGTTATCTTTACTGCATGGAATTGTAGATGTGGTCTGCGGGGTATTCTCTATCTTCACTACCTGGATATACACAGATGAACTACTACATGTAGTATTTTGAGCACCGTCTACTAGTCTTGTCTGTACTCCACTCTACTAACACCCAGTAATTGAACAGTAATCGATTGATCCGGCAGACATCACTCGTAATCATCTATCCAGGTAAATCTATCAATGTCCATACGGACCACCAAATCTATACCCCTCTAACCACTCACCCTACTATTATGCCCCACCAACCATACACAAACCAATCCACCCACGCCTAACCCAAAGAGAGTAAATCTTCCACCCCTGGCCAGCAGCAGCCCGCCGTACACAAGGGTCAAACACTGTAGTGTAGTGTGACGTGGAGTCTGTGCGATGGCGGGGTATTGCCATCAATGCGTCCCAGCCAAGCCCAGGAATCGGTGATTTGAATCTGCCCCTTGATAGATAGGTAGATGCATACCATTCATTAGCGTTGCCATTGACCAGTAGGGGATGGAGTATTGGGTAGTGCTGTTGGGTTTGTTTCTCTCTATTGTTTATTATTTGAGGGATGATGTAGTTCTGGTTTATAAAGGTAGATGAATGGAATGAATGATTATTTGAATTATGAGCCCTCAAAGAGGCTCGTGTCTGTAAAGGAAATTATCAAACAATCTAGAGTACATAAGTAGGTAGATAGGTGGTATAATACAAATGCAATGTTCTATCAAGGCATCACCTCCTGGGCCGTATATGTCTTGTAGATGCGATGCGACGCGTATGTGAATAGTAGTAGGTAAGCAGGCAGACAGGTAGGGGGTAGGTAGTGGGTAATTGACTACCCCTCCCCCTTGACTCCTCTCCTCTCCTCGTGCTCATTCACTCCTGACAGAACACCAGAAAGGAAAAAAAAAAATAACACTATGCAAAAGAATCCTGTATAATCATCATAAACCAGCGTCATAAGACGATGGAAACATAGACATAGATAAGATAAAATAGGCTCAGTCGAATCAAATCGAGTCAACCATGCTGAGAAGGGTAGAACAATGGTGATATAAAGCACATCATAAACAAAAAAGAAAGAAAGAAAGAAAGAAGGAAAGAAAGGAAAAAAGAAAGAAAGGAAAAAAGAAAGAATGTGGGACGAAAAGATATAAAAAATAAAACAAGCCTAACCATAGATCCAGGCAATCTCGTAAGATAAACCACGTGTCGGAATGAAAATCAATCAAACAATATGCCCTCCTTAATAAATGTCCCTGTCCCTATCCCTATCCTTATCCTTTGGTTCGTCGGTATCTTAGTGCCAGGTTTGGGATGGTATCCGGTTGGGGATGGCATCCCAAATCAAGCGCGAATAAAAGTAGTCAAGAAGCAAAAAAAAAAAAAAAAGAAAAAGAAAATAACCCCATACACCTTTCCTCCGAATGAGCACACTCAACTCCATAGCCCAGGATATGCCGGCACCCTCATCTTTGCAAACCTCATGGCTTGCCTTGGATGCACATTAACCAAAAGAAACCATCTATCGTAACTGTAGCTGTATTAAAGTAAGGTGGTGGCAGTGGAACCGCCTAGCCATACAACAATCGCAGGGAACCGGGGCCAGATTGACTGGATGCACGTCTACTGGCGTTGGTTCCTCTGCAGCTGTTCCCCAATCCGCAACGCTTCCGTGCCATCATCCACCAAAGACTCTTTGAACCACGCGTGCTTCAGAGCCTCCTTGGCGGTGATGCGGTTCTTGGGGTCGTAGACGAAGATGCGTTGCAGGAGGTCGAGGAATTGTCGGTGAAATTGGTTATTGGTGGGGATGAATTCCTGACACGGCGTTAGTCTAGTTTTTGAGGTTAGTATTGGAGGACATACCGTGAGTTGTTTCATGGCGCGTACGTACTTGCGCGACGCTCGGGTAGTCTCTCCGTTCGGATAATCGAGTCGGTTTCGGTTGAAGTATCTGTCTCGGTTAGTGAAATCCAGACCAACGAGGAGAGGACAGCATACTTGGCCGACTGGTTTTGACTCCCACTCCGTCCACCTTGCATCACTTGCCGCACCAGGCGAGTGTCAATTCGCTCGCCGATCACCGCCTCCATCATCGCTAGATGTTCGAGGTTATCATGCGTCTGGAACAACGCGTCCCCGGTGAAGAATTCCACCAGGATGCACCCGATGCTCCAGATGTCGCAGGGGAAACTCCAGCCCAGATTCAGGATAATCTCCGGGGCCCGATAGTGCCGAGTAGACACGACCGACGAGTGATACTCATCGTCGAAAGTGGCGGAGCCAAAATCGATCAGACGGATCTCGCTATCCAGCAAGACACGTCGTTGCCGTGCAGTGCGAGTAATGGCGTGGGAGGAAGACGGGATGGTTCGGTTGTAGGTGAAAGTCTGGTAGGAGTTGCTAACCAGAAGGATGTTCTCGGGCTTGAGGTCGGTATGGATGAGGTTAAGGTCATGGAGAACTGACCGAATAAGTATAATTCATCAAACATGGGGACGGAGGGGACACCCACAGGCTACACTCGTGAAGAGCTGTCGAGCAAAGTTCTGGATCTGGCTGCTGGGGAACGGAACAAAGCCGTTGCCTTTCAGGAAATCAAACACGCTTTGTCCGAGCAGATCGGTGACAATGCAAATGTGGTTTCGGTAATCGAAGCAATCCCGCAGGTGGATGCATTTATTGCGATTTTGCTTATCATTCGACGAGAGCGTGGACAGCACTCGCAGTTCGATCCGCGATGCATCCCGGTATTTTTGAATCGACCGGATGATCTTCACTGCGCACCGAGATTTGCGGTGCTTATCATATGCCTCGACTACCTTTCCAAATGTTCCTTGTCCGAGGAGTTTGATGATGGAGTCTGACCGGTCAGCATGGCTCTCGATCCAGGGCCAAAAGTTAACTCACATCGGTCGGTCAATGGGGATTCGGCTGTCACAATGTAGTGACCATCGTTATCATCAACCTTTTCATTTCTATTGACGTACTGTATAGAGGTTAAAGATGTTCACCGAGAGACGAAGACGAAGAAGAGAGGGGAAGAAAAAGAAGGAAAAAACGTACGTCACGGACAACCGGAACAGGAACATCCTTAGCCTTGATGGGAGGCTTCGGAGGAGGCACGTAGCTCAAAAACGCATCGCCCACGTGCTCCAGTTCCCGCCGCTTTTGCTCATCCCGGACGGCCTTTCGCGTGGCGACACGCTTGCGTTTCTGGCCAATATTGGCATCTTCGAAGAACACTCCGTTGCTCGCCCCCGAACTCCCCTGGGACAGCGACGTGGGTGCAGTAGTATGTAAGGATGTGGTTCGATCGGTGGATATGGAGGCGGCGGAGGATTCCTCGCCGTAGTGCTGCGGGTTGATCGAGTAGGAGGGACGATCGTAGTAGCCCAGGTCGTAGGTGGTCTCGATGCCGGTGCGGCGTCTCTTACCCGCCGGCTGGGGCATGGCGGCGGTGGGAGCCGTCACGGTGGAGGTTGTCGCAAAACTGCGAGTCGAGGGCGCCTTGGACTGTTCCGGGGGAGGGGTGTCATCGATGACGATGACCTCCTTGGGGATACCGTTCTTGTAGAATTCGTTCCAGTCCGGATTTTTCCTTCGCCCGTTCTGTGTCGGGGTGCCGGCGGCAACCCCGTTGTGGGAGGGAGGCATTGTGGTCGGCGGCGTCGGGACAGTCGGCAGGATCTTTGGGGATTGAGCGAAGGGGAGGGTGGCCGTGGAGGGATTGACGGCGTAGGGATAGGAGGTCGGCAGGCGAGCGGCTCCTGCAGCGGACGTGGTCGGATAGGATGTATTGGGTTGATAGGGAGGGTGGACGTATGGGTACGGTTGCTGATGAGGGTGATGATGCGTAGGGTGAGTCGCAGTCGCGGTGGAGGGGGTCGACATGATGAACCACCGAGGCCGACCGCCGGGGATAGAGTAAGGAAGAGATGAAGCAGAAAGAGATGGTGGGAGGGGAGCAGAATGAGGTTCAGTCGTAGTCGGATCGCAGTCCGCCGTCCTAATCTACTTGGGGATGGGGGTGGCAGAGAGAACAGGGGACTCGAGACCTGAGGACTCTCATATGTAAACCGATCGAAGAGGGTGAAAAATCACACCCGTTCAGACGGGGAAGAGATCACAGAGAGACAAGAGAAGACACCAGACCAAGGGGTAGGGGAAAGAAGAAAGAGAATGAAGGATTTCGTGAGGCGTGGGGATGGATTATGGCTGGCGAGGCGGTCGGACGGGGAGAAAGCAGTCTTTTCCTCGCGCTCCGGTGACTTGCGACTGGGGGGAAGTCAATCAATGAGTTTGGCTCATTCGATTGGGAAAAAAGAAACAGTCAATGAGGAGGCCATTGGATGATGAGAACACATCTGGCAGAGGGACAGGAAAGGCGAGGGATGACATAAAAAACGGCCAGAAAGAGCGGAAGAAGAATGATTGAACCCGGGGTTGGTTCCAGAGGCAACAGCGGGTAATGATGGTGAGAAGCAGGCTGTGAGGGATAGAAGTGATTCTACAGTTACTATGGTATACAGTGTCGAATCTATTCTTTTGACCGTGACTACTAATTACTCCGTACATCTGGACTGTTTGAGGATAACAGAATATTATTAGAATGTCATCATCATCATCACTATCAGTATAGAATCGAATGATTAGTAGGATTGTGGCCATCAAGTGTTCGGTTACGACAACGACACAACCACACACTAAACTCTTTCTGCCCGTCAAGAATGATCGCTCATGTAATATCGTGTATCATGATACAGACACCCTCTCGAAATCTCCACTCGCGACATTGAATTGTGACGATCTATCGGATGTCCGAGGCAGTCTTAGTATCAATCTTTCGTTTCTGGTCAAGAACCCGACGCTCTCTTAGTCTGTAAATTTCTCGTGTTTGATGTTGGTGAGATGTCGCAGGATCGCAAGGCTTAGCCATCTCGGGGGGCGAAAAGAACCAGAATTTAGAAAAGAAAATAGAACAGTCAAGAAAGAAATAGGGTACAAGGGAATATCTATAGCGTCGGGGACCAACGTTTAGGCTTTTATTGGCGTAGAATTCACTGCCTGCAGGACTCCCACCATCTCACAGAATCATTCTTATTCTTTCTCTCCTCTCTACTAGGTTACACCTATTGATCAGCCTGACCTGTTGACCAGGATAACCTTGAGATATTCACGAACCCCCATAATCCAGAGGGAAAAAGGTGAGGCAAGTGATCAACCACTCGTGGTTGGATGTGGCAACGCCCGTGGGGGAAAGCCTAAAGCTAGGGGGATTGAACAGAAAGTAAAGAAATGAAATGAAATACCAAATAGGAGGCTGTCAGTAATGAATAGTGAATAATAAATAATAAATAATAACTAGTATGATCAATGTTACGTGTTTGTAATCAAAGAATGTATGGAAGAATCCATGCCGCATGTCATTCCGCAGCAGGGGGATCGTACACTAACAATTTAGCCTGTCTATCTGTCTGCCTCGTAACTAAGGACTTAGAACAAGTCGGTATTTCTTTCCTCTCGTCTCGCCCTCTTCTCCGCCTTTTTCCCATGGTTTAATACCGTCTTCGGTGGTTATTGGCCACTTGGATTGCTGATGTCATGTTTTGATGAATCAATATAGTGATCACTTTAGTAAGGTATATTATTTCCATTACTGTGGTTACTCAATATTTCTATTGCCATTGTCATTGTGATCTTTATTTTGAGACTTTTCTACCCTGTCACCTTGTTTTTTTTCTTTTCTTTTTTTTTGGTAGATTTCTACCCATGTCAAACAGGATGAAATCTCAAGAATTGGCAATTCAGTGGTTTGAGTAAACCCTAACCGTACGGTAATGTCACTGTTGCCCGGGCCCCGTCCTCCGCATCCCAGTCCTTACTCGTCCCCATTTAGGGTTCGATGGTCTTGGTAGACAGTAATCCATGCCGATACGCTTCCTTGGTTGTTCCTTTCCGTCGCATGGCATTGGTTCATAACGTGGCGTTGAACATTACTTATTAACACTCCGTGTGGCCATCTCTCGTCCGTTGTGGTGGGATATTTCTGTTTCCAATATTTTGGTCGTAGCTAACACAGATTGAAGAGTTGGGAGTTCCTTAGAGGGTATCCGTATATTGAAAATTGTCTGTCCCACTAGATAGACGCAATCCCTGCCACATTGCGCACAATACATCGACGAGAAAAAAAGAAGGATGGAAAAGAACCGGGAGGCAATAAACACCAAAGCAAGAAGAACAGCTGGAAAGAGATGCACGCGCCCCACTACCTCGAGGAAAATGCACGCAGTAGTACAGAAACATGCACAAGGTGACCCATCGAAACCATCCGCAACGCCCACGCCTAGTATCCCGCAGTAATCGTGCGTAAGACCAAACGTAAATAAAGTAGAAAAAAAAAATAGTGCAAGAAGAGTTGATAAAGATTAGAAGAAGCAGAATGGCAGCATGGCGGAATGGCAGAATAAGGCTGGAGCGGACGCCTGCCAGGCTAATCCACCCGGTCTTCCTTCACATCCTTGGAGTACGCCTTCTGGACATGCCGCGATCCCCGCCCATCCAGTTCCAGCATAAAGAGAATATCCCGAACCTGCACCCCCGCGCCCTTCTCTTTGTCTTCCCTCCACGTCCCCAGTCGTTTGGAGGTCACTGTGGTGGATTCGCCAGAGCGCCCGGATTTCTCGTTACCAGGAGCTGGGGTGGCCGCATTGGCACGCGACGGAGACGAGAATCCGCTTCCTGTAGCCGGCCCGCGATTCAGCCACGAATACGACTTCTTCGTGCCAAACATCCGACTTGACAACATGCTGTTGGTGGCCATTCGTGCCGTCTCGACCGACTGCTGGTGTTGTGCCGCTTCGGTGGCTCGCGCATCGACCATTTTCTTGGCTTCCTTCTTGGAAACACTTTTTTTGTCAAGACTGGGCGCCTTGTCTGCCACTGGCGTAGACGGCGCGGAGCCAGGGGTTTCCAGGGACTCGGATTTGGTCCCACCCTCCCCTAAGATTGCGCTCGCGCTGCGTTTGGCGCGTTTGGAGGCGCGCGCTTCCTCGCTAGAGTTGTCCTTCTCTACCAGCAAGCGGCACCGTTCAGATAAAGGTTTCGTTCCTGATGGTTCCGTCGATGAATGGTTGCCTGGGTCTAGTTAGTGTGGCCATGCAACTCTGAAAGGGGTTGAAACCTACGTTTCAGCGAAGGTGTTTGTTGACCTGCTACACCTTCGTTGCTGACCTTCGATGCTTGCGCCATGTCTTTCCAGTCAGCAGGCACCACTCCGTGGGAGTGCGCCCGACGGCTTCTCGCGAGAGTCGATGAATAATCTACCACGGATCTCAATCGTTCCTCGCAAGATATGGACATGAGGTTGAGTATGTCCACCAAGGGTGCGCCTTCCTGGTTTAGGATAGTTTTGCCGGTGCGCACAACGGATGAGCCATCCGGTCCAGTGACTTCGATCGGCTGTGGACGATCAGGTATGGGGTGGAACAGGCCCTCTGCGGGAATGCGAACACCAAGTTCAAACCCGCGCTTCTGGAGCTTTTGTTCCAACACTTTCGTCAATAGAAATGGCTCTTGGAGATGGTATTGTGCACGTCGCGCGGCTTCGGTATCTTCTCGAGTCGGCTGATTGGGATCTTTGAATGGGGCAGGGGGTTGAGTGGACGGTTCGGAGTAGAAGGATTCTTGAGTCGGGGTCGGTTTGAGGGGTGACGGCTCGCTGAAGCTTGCGTTTGCAGAGGCTGTCCCCGTCGTGGACGTCTGCGAGGTGAAAGAGGTATTTACAAAGGACTGCTGAGCCTGTGGTTGTTGTTGTTGCTGCTGGTGTTGGGGAGGAAGTGGTTGCTGTAGACGCGGTGGCTGTTGTACTTGAACGCCAGGACCGGAATAACTGCTGGTGAGAAAGGCTTCTTCTTCTCGTACATCGATACCAGACGATGCCAGGACATCTGTGAGTTCAGCGGCGTCCGTAGCCTTTTCCACCGGCCGAGACGGCGGTCCCATCGTGCCCTGGGTCTGAGGCGCGGATGCTGGGTTTGGGGCCATGCCATTCATGTTCGTCCCATTTACCGGCGTTGGAGGTTGATTTTGAGGTAACTGTAAGGTCCCAAAGCTGGGAGAGGCATAAGGAGACTGTGTGAGGGGAGAGAGGCGCTGTCGTTTGGCCGGATGTTGCGGGACACCGGTTCCGTTCACCGGCGAGCCAACCCCCGGGGATGGTGATGACCCCGGGGGAGAGAATGACTGGGAAAACTGCTGGGGTTGGGTTTGCGCCATGATGACTGCAAATGGCTGGCGACTGTCAAAAAAGATAGTTATACACTGGATAGGCAGGTATCACGCTTTTTGAGGCAAAGAGCACGTTCGCGCGTGGGCCGAAAAACTGAGCGGATTGCTCTCACCACCACCGCCGCCAGGTGTAACCATCTCAAGGTGCTGTGATAAACATAGAGCTCAAGCCTTCCGTCACGGGGGATACTGAATTTTGTCTCGGATCGATGGCGCGGTGAATAGACCAGGGGTGGCCGTGTAGTTTGCAGACGGAAGGGGAGCTTCACTGGTGAGGTCTGCAACGAGATCCCGCACCCTGCCCGTCGGTCACGTGCGATTATGTAAGATATCCCCCGATTTGCGCTTCTGTACATGGACTGCTGTCGATGATGTCCATTGTGTTTTCTTCTCATCAATCGAGGATCTACCATTGGGGCTGAGACTGTGACAATTTATCCCGGAAGTTGAATGCCCGGGTTTGCGATGAACATATATGTTTTCTTGATGTCCTTCCTTTACAGCATTGGCGTTTCACGACTATCATGATCGGTCTTTACCCGACAACTTGAGACAGCAGAACATCCTTTCCTAGCTAACATTTATCTACCTTTGGGGCTTAACACCACTGGCCTTGGGTAGTTTGATTATATTCTAACTATTCGACCCAAGAGATCTGGTCTTGTACCCTAACCTGGAATCATGGCGACAAAGCGAAAAGCTTCCGCTTTGAACGCGGGCGATGACGAGCCTGTCGACCCCTCGGACGAATTGGCATTCTACTGCCTCGGTGGAGGAAACGAAGTCGGTCGATCATGTCATATCATTCAGTACAAGGGCAAAACTGTCATGGTATGCGCCCGTTTCCAGCACTTCTTTCAATCGCGTTGCTAACCTCCGGTCTTGTTTAGCTCGATGCCGGCATGCACCCTGCGAAAGAAGGCTTCTCGGCCCTCCCGTTCTTTGACGAGTTCGATTTGAGCACGGTGGATATACTCCTCATTAGCCAGTACGTGAAACTCTCCGCTCCCTTAGGCTTTTCGGGCACTGTATACAAGAACGAGTGGTTGGTCTTTGCGGGCAAAAACCGACTTGTTTCCGGTCGAGAGTTGCATTTCGTTATGAGGCGTTTGTCAGCCCCAATGTGTACAAGAAGCGCAGGTCAATCTATACTAGCTGAATATGTCTTATTTTGTGGTGTATACTTCCGTATTCGTGCCTTCGTCAGATTCGTCACCGTGGATGACAATGCGATTGACTGATAAACTTTGCGTTACCTAGTTTCCACGTTGACCACTCCTCCGCGCTCCCATACGTCCTTAGCAAGACCAACTTCAAGGGCCGCGTTTTCATGACCCATGCGACCAAGGCGATCTACAAATGGCTTATCCAAGACAACGTTCGAGTCAGCAATACGGCGTCGTCGTCGGATCAGCGCACTACCCTTTATACAGAGCACGACCACCTGTCTACCCTTCCGCTGATCGAAACAATCGATTTCAACACGACCCATACGATTAACAGCATTCGTATAACCCCGTTCCCAGCTGGCCATGTGCTCGGGGCTGCCATGTTTCTGGTTTCGATCGCTGGGTTGAACATACTTTTCACTGGTGACTATTCACGGGAAGAGGACCGGCATCTTATTCCAGCAGAGGTACCGCGTGGCATCAAGATCGACGTGCTTATAACGGAGTCAACTTTCGGAATCTCATCCAACCCGCCTCGTTTGGAACGCGAAGCGGCTCTGATGAAGTCGATCACGGGGGTGTTGAATCGCGGGGGCAGAGTTCTGATGCCAGTGTTTGCTCTCGGTCGAGCGCAGGAGTTATTGTTGATTCTTGACGAATATTGGGAGACACACCCCGAGTTGCAGAAGATCCCGATCTACTACATCGGTAACACCGCACGGAGATGCATGGTGGTATATCAGACGTATATCGGGGCGATGAACGACAATATCAAGCGGCTTTTCCGCCAGCGTATGGCGGAAGCAGAGGCGAGTGGTGACAAGAGTGTCAGCGCTGGACCGTGGGATTTCCGGTTTGTTCGGAGTCTGCGGTCCCTGGAACGCTTTGATGACGTTGGGGGGTGCGTTATGCTGGCTTCGCCGGGTATGTTGCAGACAGGAACAAGTCGGGAGTTGTTAGAGCGTTGGGCTCCCAACGAACGTAATGGCGTTGTCATGACCGGCTACAGTGTCGAGGGCACGATGGCCAAGCAAATCCTCAACGAACCCGAACAAATCCCTGCCGTGATGTCAAGAGCCACGACTGGTGTGATTAGAAGAGGTATAACTGGTAATGACGAAGACCAGAAGGTCATGATACCCCGACGATGTACCGTGGATGAAGTCAGCTTTGCCGCTCATGTGGACGGCGTGGAGAATAGGAACTTCATCGAGGAAGTTGCAGCACCTGTTGTGGTCAGTATCCTTTATCAATTCTCTCCTGAGATCTATTGTCTAATTGCTTCTAGATTCTTGTACACGGCGAAAAGCACCAGATGATGCGACTCAAGTCAAAGTTGTTAAGTCTCAATGCAGACAAGACCGTCAAGGTCAAAGTCTACACCCCAGCGAATTGCGACGAGGTTCGTATCCCGTTTAGGAAAGACAAGATCGCCAAGGTTGTGGGTAAATTGGCGCAAGTGGCACCTCCTGAGCAAGAAGATGGCCCCCTTATGGCAGGTGTGCTCGTCCAGAACGGCTTCGACTTGTCGTTGATGGCTCCAGACGACCTTCGCGAGTACGCAGGTCTCACCACGACAACGATCACATGCAAGCAACACCTTACACTCAGCTCTGCAAGCATGGACTTGATTAAATGGGCATTGGAGGGCACATTCGGTGCCATTGAGGAAATTGGTACCCGCAAGAAAGACGACGTCAAGGGGGAAGACATGGAGGAGGACTCCGTGATGAAGACTGACGAGGAAGAGCCCAAGGTCAAAGAGGAAGCAGCCGATGAAGAGATCCCCATGGAAAACGAACAAACCTATCTAGTCATGGGCTGTGTGATTCTCCGATACCACCCGCGGACCCGCGAGCTCGAGCTTGAATGGGAGGGTAACATGATGAACGACGGGGTGGCAGACGCGGTCATGGCTGTTCTTCTCACGGTGGAAAGCAGTCCGGCATCCGTAAAACGTTAGTCTCCAAACCCCCGCGAACATCGAGTAAATCAATTGCTAACCAAGACCTAACTCCAGAATCTGCAAAACACAACCATCATCATCACCATCATCACGACGACGATCTGTTGGAACTCCCCAATCCTCACGCGGCGCAATCCGTCGACGAGCGCTTCGCTCGACTCCTCATGATGCTAGAAGCGCAATTCGGTTCAGACATTGCCCCCATCGAACGCCCCCGAAACAAGCAACCCGACGGCGCACCCAAAAGCGAGACCACGACCCCAGCCGAACCCGACGGCACGCAGACCCCTCAACCCAAAAATGAAGACTCGGACGAAGTAACAGAATGGGAAGCAACAGAGCTGGCACGGCTCCACGCCCTGGGAATTCCCTTCCCCGGAATCGAAATCAAGATCGACAAGCACGTTGCGCGCGTGTGGCTGGAAGACCTTGAAGTCGAGTGTGCGAATAACGTGGTGAGGGACCGTGTCCGTGTTGTCACGGAGCGCGCGGTCGAAACCGTTGCGAGCATGTGGACGGAGGATCCCAAGACGACGGGCCCTCATGCTACGAATGGGGATGCGAGTGAGCGGGCTATCGATGACACGGCTATGGCTAAGGGTGCGGAGGTTGACGCCAAGGCATGATTAACGTGTTAGGCATATTTCGTGTATTAGTATCGTGGTTTTTAACTTTTACCTTGCTGTTTATTGATGGATTCTGGGATGTGTACGCACGATTTAACGGGAAATGTATGGGCGCTTTTCTTCTGGTTGCTTCATACTCAATCAATGAATATAATTCGGTAGCGATGATGAAAGATAAGTAGACATTGGTAGGGTTATATAATGTAAACCAAGAAAGAGTAAAAAAGCTCTCTGAGCCACCTGAGATCCCATAAATATCGATAACGTGAAATAGCGAATTATGCCAAACTGGTTCAGATATCTAAACGGAGACGACCTTCGAAAACACACGGTCAATCACCTGCGCAGTCTTCGCAACAATAATATCAATCTCCTCATTCGTCACGTTGTAAGGCGGTGCGAGGAGAACATGGTCTCCGCGAATGCCATCAACCGTGCCAGATGCGGCATACAGAGAAAGACTGTACTCCTTTTCCAGACCAGTCTCCTGGATGTGGAAGGCGAGCGAGGCGGAAGTAGGGAACGCTTCCTTGGTGGATTTGTCTTTGACGAACTCGATCTGGTAATCGTCAGCTGTTGTCTCAACATATCTTTTTCCTCCACTAATAAAGAATGGAAAAGGGAAGGCAGAAACTTACACCCCAAAACAGCCCCTTGCCGCGAATATCACCTACAAACGGATGTCCTCCCAACGTATCCCTCAATCTCTCCTCTAGGTAAGCACCCATAGCGCGCACATTCTCCAGTAGATTATCTCTCTTGATAATCTTCTGCACGGCCAACGCAGCCGCACACGAGATAGGATGACCCTGGTACGTCTGCCCGTGTCGGAACGCGCCCGTGCCTCTGTCAATCGCCTGCACGATCTTTTCCCCGATCAGGAGCGCCGAGACAGGCGCGTACCCCCCTCCCAGTCCCTTACCGATTGTCTGGAGATCAGGGACCACGCCTTCCTGTTCCCACGCATGAAGCGTACCGCAGCGGCCCATGCCGCTCATGACTTCGTCCATGATGAACAGCGCGCCGTGTCGCTCACAGACGGCTTTCATGGCTTGGAAGTACCCCGGAACGGCGGGGACAGCGCCGAGCGCCTTTTCAGGGTCAGTTTCAGTTCTTGAATATGGGTGTGGGCGGAACATACTGCTCCGACAACTGGCTCGGCGATAAATGCGCATACGGTTTCAGGCCCGACACGCTGGAATTCTTCGTCTAGCTCGGTGGCCAGACGGGCAACGTAGTCGGCGTCTGATTCGTTTTCTTTCTTGCCGCGGTACGCATTGCAGGGAGAAACGTGAGACGTGTTCTGGGTGAGGATTGGCTCGAATGGTTGGCGACGCTGGACATGTCCACCTGCTGATAAGGCGCCCAGTGTGGTGCCGTGGTAAGAGGGCAGGCGAGCGATGAACCTAGTCCGCTGTGGTTGGGGCGTCTCCAGCTCGAGGAAGTACTGGCGTGCAAGCTTGAGGGCTGCTTCGACGGCCTCGGAGCCTGGGAGGAACATCAGTATTCCGTGGGACGAGTTTGGATAATAAACTGGACGGCATACCTGAGCTAACGACGAACACCTTTGACATCTTGCCGTTCGTCGAGTCAACTAGGAATTGCGCAAGTTCTTCGGTGACTTCTGTGCCGAAGAATGCTGTGTGACAGTAGGCCACCTTATGGACCTGGTCTGCCACGGCCTTGCAGACTTCCTCGTGGCCGTGGCCGAGACAGGATACAGCTGCCCCACCAGTCGAATCAAGGAACTTGGTGCCATCTTCCAGGTGGAGGTAGCTGCCTTTCCCACCGATCGCCTTTCTAGGAATGAACCGGGTGTCGCGGTGGAGGACCGCCGTGTGGCTGGCGGTGACTGTGTCCATGTTAGTGACTTGATGTGTAACACATTGAGGGTGGGGTGAACATGCCTTGGGTCATGATTGCGTCCTACTTGAATGACTAGTAGAGAGACAAGGGGTGGTTATGGGACGGGAGTATGTAAAGGTGGTCGCAGTGGGGAAGATAAAGGAATATTAGTGGGGAGCAATGGGTGGAAAGGACCGGCTTTATAGCCTATACTTAACGCGCCATCCATGTTACTCCAAAGCATTCAGCATGTGGGGTCGGTGGGGTCGGTATGCCGAAATGGAGATCCCGAGCGTCCTATTGGATAAAACTTCCGACGGCTCCCGATTCGGCGTGTGGATGCCGATTTGTCTAGATGAATTGCTAACATGAGACGATAATGAAAGATATCTTCTGTGTTCTTTCCTTCTTCTTTTATCGTAGAAAGAAAAATTGACTGCGACCGAATCTGACGGAAAAGGAAGGCATAGGCCGATTGATTGTTTTGGGGTGTCTTGGGCCCCTCAACGTGGTAAATAAGTTCCTGTCTGGGTAGTTGCCTGTATAGTAACTATACTAGGTTTCTATAAACCCACCTGTTACCTCGTTTGTTTATAACATGCCAATCAAGCATCCACTCGAATATCATCATAGTCCCAGTTTACACTCATTTTAGTTCTTATCCCCTCGTTTTGGTCATTCTCTTACTTTATCATAGTGTGCCCCATTACTTCATCGAATAGGTTTCAAAGGATCGAGATCCAATCTCTACGGTTTCCAGTACTCGTCCTTCGCCACAGACGATCATTGAATCTTTCTAGGCATAAGCTGAGCGTCTACCAAGCGCGTTACAAAACCACTGCCCCCTTCAAAAAGCTTGGCTGGCAAAACATTCATACGTTCTCCATTCTCTCACTCACATCCTGTACCAAATCGACCTTCTCCTGTGAATAAGAGAGAGGGGGTTAAGTCGCCTCTATACCCTCTCTCCCTTTGGCTATGCACGTCAAGATGGACCGTGTCTATAAGTACAAAGCAACCAGACCGGAAGATGATACTGCACGGGTAATGCGAGTCTTCCTCGACAATCTTCCAGAAGACGGGAAGCAGAACCTACAGAATGATATATACGCTTGCCAATCTGATGAACAGATCCGAGCCCATGCGAAGTGCCTTGTAGATGGGCTTCTATACCCGTTGAAGACGAGATCCTGTACCCCAAGCATCGTCACAACACCTGCGCTCTTGTTTAGTGATTCCTTAGAAATTAAGCCCCCAGCGATGGTCGAAACGGAGGCCCGACTGCTTCAGGTGAAGAAGGATTGTTTGAAGCGGGATGGCTACAGATGTCTTGTTTCCAGAGTGGCCGATGAGGGCATCCCACTTGACCAGAGCGATGAGGAAACACATTGGAGTGAAACTAAGTGCGCGCATATAGTGCCTTTCTGTTTAAGCATATGGGACACCGTCGTCGAGCGAAATGCTAAGGCGGAGATTTGGGCGAATCTGAACCGGTGCTTCCCCATGTTATGGAACCAGCTCCACTTTACCCAGGATAGCATCACCGACCACCGCAACGCGCTTACCTCATTTCCGATGGTTTATGACCACTTCAGGGCCTTTAAATTTACCATGGAAAAGACTGATGTCGAGCACAGATACAAGATCATAAATTACAGACCTCGTGATATCGTGGGGACCTATTTCCCTGGATCTGGGATTGTCTCGTTTGAGGCTGCCGACTGCCGATTCGAACTCCCCAGTCCAGAACTCTTAGAATTTCACGCCACTATCGCCCGAATCCTACATGCGAGTGGCAAAGCAAAGCAGGCCGAGAAGATTCTGAAAGATCGAAAAAGTACTACGTCCCTAGCTGGGGACGGAAGCACTGATGTTGGCGCTTTATTGTCGACGACATCGCTGGGAGTACTTGGCTCTCGAGCTTCGTGCCAACATAGCACAAATGACTCTACGGTATCGACTGGAGAAAAGAACTGAAATTTTTTGATCGCTAGCCAATTGTCACCCAGCAGAAGAATGCGAAGATCGGTCGTGCGATAGAGTCCTTGCTTGGGTGGGAAGTCGCCCATCCAGGTACTCGGATGCTTGAGTGACTTTGTATCCACTGATATTACTGCCTAGGCAGTATTGTTAGTCCTCTCTAGCTCTAATAGATCTATGGATTTACATCTATTTCGTTCTTAATTCGTATTTTTATATAACTATAGGTGTGGCTAGATGGAATTAGTATTCCGTAGTGCTACAGCATGTATTGTATTTACGGACGATCTAACAATTCAGCTCTTTCGACATTTCATTTTATCTAAACAAGAATAATTCACTCCTTAATTTGGTACCGACTTATTCCTTTGATTTTGTATACAAATCAAATCAATACTATCAACTTAGTGACCAAATCCATTCGATCATCTGCAATAGCAGGTAGTTGACAGGCAATGTAAGGCGGTGGATGTTACTGCGCTAACAAAACCCCAGTTCTCCGCTCCGCGGCGGCGGGCAAACCCAACGCCGCACAGAAAGGCCAGACTAGCTGCCCCAGACCATATCCACCACCCACGAGCGCCTCTTGTCCGCGGCGGTTTTGCATCGACGCATCCATACCATTATATCACTCTGATAAACCGAAACACATCGAAACTTTTACCATGTCGCGAAACGCCCAGGTCGAGGAGGTGTCCGACTCCGACCCCGAAGAGGTCGTCCCCTCCTTAGTCTCCAACGACTCGATTATCCGTCCAGCTGAAGTCCCAACGGCAAGTTCGACGTCAATGCCGATGAGACCGCCTCCCGAGATTCGTCGCGAGATCCCCAAGCACTACCAGTGCCTCTACCCCATTTATTTCGACAAGACGCGATCCCGCGCGGAGGGCCGCAAGGTGGGCACCGAGCTGGCTGTTGAGAACCCACTGGCTCGGGATATTGTCGATGCGGTGCAGATGCTTGGTTTGACGGCGGGACTGGAGCCCGAGAAGCTGCACCCTAAGGACTGGGCGAATCCTGGACGAGTGAGGGTGTTGTTGAAGGAGGACGGGAAGCCGACGAATTCGAATATCAAGAATAGTACGTTTCTTTACCTTATCCCCCCGCGATATACATGGATTGGAGAGACAGTAGTGGACTTCTAGGAGGGACCGGGCAGCGCAGAGCTAACGACTCGTCTAGAGCACCATTTATACATCCTCGTGGCCAAGTACCTCCAAGCGCACCCGACCACCGAGCAATCTCCATACCGTTTGAGACTTCAAGGACTACCGATGCCTGAAAAGCTTCCCCCCGCACCTGCCGCCCCTCGTGGTTGGAAGATTCCTACAATTCTCCCCATCCACTCCCCCGCGTACAGCGGTGGCGGTGTCAGCGACAACCCGCTCAAGGATGCCATGGCCGAGATGCAGGGCATGGGAGGAATGCCAGGAATGCCACAGATGCCCGGCATGCCTGACATGAGTGCACTGAGTGCTATGATGGGAGGTATGGGAGGTATGGGAGGCGGTGGTGAACCGGCCGGCGCCAGTGGCGACAAGAAGAAGAAGGACAAGAAGAAGGGCAAGGCATGATGGTCTTCAACGATGGCGGACATGGGAATAATTTCTTGCGATCGTACTCGCGCATTTCATACTGTTTCTGGCTGCATTGTACGGGCGAAAGGCGTTTATATTTGACCGTTAGAGGTCATTGATGCTGTTCTCTGATACCAGTGTGGAAATCGAAAAGCTACTCGACTATCTTATTTGTTGGATACTCTTCTAAATGATACTCCACAATATTCTGAGATACGAACAGCATCATTATTGATATCATATTATTCTGTTTTAATCCGATACTGAGTGGCATGAGCTGAAACTTGACTCATTGCATAACCAAGTCCAGTTGTGTTGGCGTAGTAAGCGATCGTCGCTGATAAGGCGGTCTCCCTTGGGTTCTTCGAAGGTTCACACTATTACTGCTCCGTACGGTTTAAACCGCTCCAGCAGTGACGCCAATCATTCGCCCCCCCCACCCCCACCAATTGTAGTCTTGACCTTACGACGTAAATTGTGTGCTTGAAAACACCCCCCTTCTTTGCGCCCGTGTTTTTTAAACGCAACGGAATCCATGCGCGCTCCTGCATACCTCCCACAGTGCGTCTTCTCGATGGATTGAGCCGACCGACCTCGCCACGGCGTCGAACACCCGGAGCGACCATGAGCTCGAGCTCACCGAGCGACCGAGCCCCCCATGGGCTGCCAAATCGGTCGCCAGTATCTCAGTTTCAGTATGGACCTAACTCGGTCCCCGTGCCTGCTCCAGTATCCTCTGCGCCACAATCGTCTTCGTCAGCTAGGGCGCGAGGGCGCCAGATCACCCGGAACCGCGCGAGCTACAGCTGCCATACCTGCCGGAGACGGAAAGTGAAATGCGACAAGGTACTTAATCCGATACGCTCCATGAGATCTATCATAAGGATGCAGTGCTAACTTATATCTCCTAGGTGCATCCGATCTGCGGGAACTGCATCAAGAACGGGACCGAGTGCATTTACGATGCGTCATCAAAAAACGCCTCGTCGCACGACGACGAAATCAAGCTTGAACACGGCGTGAAGCGGAGGAGAGAAACCTCGCGACCGGTCGAGGATGATATAGATGACTTGGAATCGATATGCGGCCATTTGAGGCAAGCCGAATCATCCACAGAGCAGAAGTACGGGTCGCAGGCGATCGAGGCGCGACTGGACAAGCTCACGTCGATGATTGAGCGGCTTAGCAAGACCAACCAACCGCTGAGCCCGGCAGAGAGGCAATTATTGACCCAGAATGTCGATACCAGGTCGTCTAGAGGGGATATTCGGTCGGTCGACGCTCCCGCGCGGAAGCTCTCGGATGCCTCAGGCGTGAGTAGTCCGCGTCGCGTCGCTGATTCGGGAGGGGATGAATTCCCAATTCCTGCTGGTTCGGCTACGGATTTGGTGGATCCGGTGGGCAGTCTTAACTTGGGGCATTTGAGCCTCGAAGATGGAGGGAAATCGAGGTATGTTTTGCATGTTGTGAACGAGAGACTAGTGTTGACATCATCCTTATAGATATGTCGGAACGACATATTGGGCGTATATATCGCACGAGGTATGTATTTAGGCGAGCTACGAAGATGGAGATCATCACACGCTCACACATGGCCAGATCAACGAACTTAATCAGCTACTCAGGGACCAGAACCAATCCCACGGTGAGCAGAACGGCAATGGAAATACGTTAGACGACTCTATGTCGGACACCCCCGCACGGCCTGCTCGAACCCCATGGAGAGGGTCGGTTGACAGCCCCGACGGTTTATTTGACGACAGAACCTCAAGCGGCGATGCATTCCAGAAGTCGGTGGTTTTCCCGTCCAGCGAGTCTCCGCTGGCGAAGAATCAACTCGTTGAGCCAGAAATGCTGGAAAATGTGCCGTCGAAGCGTCAAAGTCACATTTTATACAGGGGCTTTATGTCTGGCGTACATGCCATCAGCCCATTAGTGCACCCACCAACCATTCAAAAACTGTACAATGCTTTTTGGGATTGGTATGACTATAGCAGTTACTCCGGAGAGCCTTATCTGGACTCTTCCTTCATCCCGCTACTTTACGCTATATGGTATGCCGGTTCCGTCACAATCTCGATAAGGACGATCAAATCCGAATTCACGGTGGCATCGCGGTTCACATTGTCCAAAACCTACAACGAAGAGGTAAATCGGTGGTTGACCAGAATTTCTTTCCCGCGAAGTCCATCGCTGCAAGGGCTGGCGGCCTACCTTCTGGTCCAAACGATCCTGTCCAAGGAGGAGGAACCTCTGGCGAGCAGCTTGTTTGTAAGCCTTGCGATGAGAGTTGCCCAGACCATGGGTCTGCATCGGGATCCTGCGAAATTCGGGATCCAGCCGTACGAGGCGGAGTATCGTCGTCGGATATGGTGGCATATTGTACACATGGATGTCGTGGTGTCGATGTCAAGCGGACTGCCGCCGTTGGTTAGTGACGAGAATTTTTGGGATGTCCGTGAGGCCAGTGAAGTGAAAGACACATTGCTTGGAACCCCCGAGGCAGAAGAGTACGAGAAGCTGGTTGCTGCAGGTATGCGGCCGCGCGATACTCCCGATGATGCGGCGGTTTGTGGAGGCTCGTCGATCGTGAACGTATACTATCTGTCAGCACGGGGTAAATACGTCATGGCGAGTAAGTAACCAGACCACTTCATTAATTCAATTAAAGCTAACGCAGTGATGCTTGCAGGCGCTATTCGCCGGATCATGAGGATTCAACTAGGCACCAAACCAGTCACCCGGCAGGATATGGAGGAGCTTAGGTGCATCCTGCTCGATCTACAAGTCCAGTTGAACTCGATTATCGATCGGATTCCAGAACCAAAAGCTCATGATCTCCCGGCTCACTCCAATCGATCGTGGTCTGTGTCCTCTCGCTCGCCAGCTGAAGTTCGAACCAGCGATACCGAGCTTCCAGGAGATGGGCCGACTGGCTGTTCAGAGCAGTATCACACCCCTGTCCTCGTAGCATTTCACAAATGGGCGAAGATACTTCTCTCTCTTTTTATAGACAAGGTAAGTATCCGATCTATTTGTATACCGAAGTACTCTAATATAATTATAGGCTTTCTGTGTCGCATATCAACCTTTCCTCAAAAATGCCAAGAGTCGCATCTGGCCCGCTGCCCGACAAAGGTATGTCAAATCATCTGTCAATTTTCCTCCACCTATTTCCATCTAACGCAGCCAGTGCTCTCCGTCATTGCCACGGCTTCATGGAAAAGTTCATCACCTTCGCCACCGACCCAGACTTCCAGCCCTTCCAATGGAGCTGGCCAGGCAACCACCAGCCAATGCACGCCGCCATGATCATGCTCATCGACCTCTACGAACGGCCCCGCAGCCCCGAAGCGCCCAAATCCCGCGCCTTCATCGACAAGATCTTCTCTCTAACCGGCCCCGACGGCGGCGTTGTCGGCGGCGAAGACGGCATCTCCACCCAACGCCCCTTAAAGGACGGCGGCCGCGAAGCATGGGGCATGATCCGCAGACTGCGTCAGAAAGCGTGGCAGAAAGCCGGCCTCGATCCGCACATGCTGTGGACCGAGCAAGCTCAGGTCCAAGCCGGCGCTATCCCCGTGCCGGACGACCACTACGGTAGTCCGGCGTCTACGACAGCCTCCCCTTCTTCTTCGCCTTCTTCGCCTGCAGGGGGGGCTCCGCCGCTTGCGTTCCGCCGTCCGCCGGTGGACTTCTCGAAGACGTTCTATAATATGACAAGAGCGCATTCCTTATCTGAGCATAATGATGCGACTGTTCACCCTAGTCCCCTCCGGAACCACGAAGAAGCTGCCTCCGCCCCGGCTACCATCCCGGCAACCCCACAGATGACACCTGCTCCGCAGCCCGCGCACTCGGCTCTACGACAGTCCACATCAGCAACAGCAACACCGCCATTAGCAGCAACAGGAGCTCCAGCCCCAACAGCACCCCGAACCTCAACAATTCCAAACCTATCAACACCCCCAGACCAACCCTCCCTCAACCCAATCCCACCATACACCCAACCCACAACAATGCCCCTACAACCATTCATGGAAACGAACCCCCCTATCATCCCTGCCACTGCAGCACCAGCAGGAGCAGGAGCAGCGCCACCCTACCCAGCAATGGCAGCGGCGCCAACGCCCCCGTCGATGGTCGATCCGAATAATTTGAACTTCGACTGGGATCAATGGGACGCTGTCTTTGGGCAGCATTTGCCGGTTGCGGATGAATTGATGGAGTTGGATCCTGTTACTGGGCTTGAGTTTGGGGATTTGGGGTGGACGGGTGGGGGTGGGGGTGGGCAGTAGTTGGGGTGGTTTATTTGGGTTGGGGCTGGTTGGTTTTTGTTGTTGTCTTGTCCTTTTAGATGAGCTTTATTGGGGAGAGGATGTAGATGTGGTGTTTGGGGTTGGTTGGTTTTATGGGTTTATGGGTTTATGTTTAGCGGGTAAATGATTGTTTGCTATAGGTTAGTAAGGCTAGGTGAGCTACGTCTATATATACCCTGTTGGGACTTGAGTAACTTGAGTTATGATGTTCTGGAATATCCGTTTGTTCGTTTACAGTTACATGTAGTATTATGCATAGTAAGAAAATCTAAGTACTAGCAGAAGATGGGGATCGTCCACATGAGAATTGTACAGTCATGGTGATATTCCGACGATACGATGGAGTTAAAATTGACTAATGGAAAAGGCAAGGTCAAAAATGACGGAACAGCTATGGGATTCATGAGGCGTAACTCGGTTCAGATCAAATAGGGTACTGAGATGCACTGCGGGATCTGGGATTATCTCCCGCGCTATTAAGGCTGACGTTATAATTGGTCATGCACCGTTCTCCTCATTTCTTCATGAGAAAATTCTTCTTTTTTTGCTTTCAAACCAACAGACTGCAATTGCCGTAAGAAGGAAGGTGTTTAGACCTTGACCTCCTCGAGGCCGTGCTTCCAGAGAAGGGCGTAGGGGGTGACACCGTCATCACGGAAGTCAATCAGGATGTGCCTGCACATATATTAGCATTGGAGACCAGAGACAGAAAGTCAAGAGACATACATGGCATCACCGTCCATGGAGGTACCCATGAGCACATCGTAGTTGTCATAGTTGCTCAGGATCTTCTTGACACCGGCGGGGGCGCCCTTCTTGAAGGCATCGATCGTCTCAGCGGGAGCACCCTTCTCGGTGAGCTTGGTGAGGACCTTCTTCATGTAGGCTGTACGACAGTAGTTAGCATTTGGCCGAGGCTAAAAGAGACCCATGTCAGATAGACATACTCTTGAGGTGAGACTTGAAGGCATCCTTGGAAGGCTTCATGCCCTCCTCGGACTTGAGCCAGACGAGGCGGAACTGATCCTCGATATCGTGGACCATGACGGCCTCACCCTCACCACCCTCATCGTCAGCGGCATCCTCAGCGGAAGGGTTGGCACCCTCCAGCTGGAAATCCTCGCCGCCCTTCTTGAGGTACTTGCGGCAGTCGCACTCGTAGAAGATTCCGTCAACCTCCTTGATGTTGAAGGTATCGGAGAGGACCTCGTCCCCGGACACGATATCCTATATTTTGCAAAATCTCCACGTCAGCAATTTGTTTGTTTACCACTCGTTGGGGGAAAGATTTGGCCGCATTAAGCGATTTTTAGGAGGATGCATGGTGGGGTAAAGGGGGCATCAGGAGAGGGAACACGTACAGTGTAGATGATCATTTTGAAGGTAGATAGACGGAGTCTGAGGGTAAAAAGAAGGAAGGTGGATAGGGAGAAGGATGAGGTAGAGTAAGACTGGAGAAGGGAAGAGCAAAAAATGAAGTGGAAAAAAAAAACGAAGATCCGCCGTGACCGCAGTAGGGGAAAAAAGAGGGGAAATTTGTACTGTAGATTGTTTAGTGGCGCCCGTCTTGGTGGGGTTTTTTTTTCTTCTTTTTTTTTTTTTTTT